CCCTCACTTCCCCTGTTCCTGCTGCCGCAGCCGCTGCCACCAGCCAGGGCCTCCCTCCCTTCCCCTGGCTTGTCCCACACCCTGGTCAAACCCCAATGAACTCCCGGTCAAGGCACAATTTGCATACTATGCTTTTATTATATAGGATTAACAAAAATTAATCAGTCTCTCATTGAATTTAATTTTTCTTTTGTGTATCAGATTATGATGTGATAAACTCTTCATAAAAATATGTCTGTAAAATAGTTTCTTGCAGTGGAATTTTGGAATTACATTTTAATGTGTATTCATAATTTTAATATATCCCACTGTTATGGACATACTGTTAGTCTTTGTGGGATCCATTGGAATTTTGTTTAAATTTATAGGTTAATTAGAGAAGAAACAATAATTTTAAAATTTTAAATATTTTGTTTTAATAGTGCTATGAATAGACCATCTGAATAGACCTATATCTATTAAAGAAATTTAATCATAATTAAAAACCTTCAATATCAGAAAGCACCTGGCCCACGTGTATTCTACCAAACATTTTTTGTTTATTTTCTATTAATTTTTATTTATCTATCTATATAAAAGATATATAAAAGCCTAAGTGACTGTTCAACTGTTCGACCATTTGACTGATAGTTTTGACACACACTGACCACCACAGGGCAAATGCTCAACATACAGGCATGGGGACAAGGAACAGACTGAATCTTAGAGGGCAGGGGAGAGGGGGGAGGGCGGGAAGAGATTACCCACAGATCATATATGCATACTAGAAGCCCCAAATCGACACTCTGACATCCCCTGAGGGGTCCCGGATTGAGAGAGGGCGCAGGCCAGGCCAAGGGATCCTACCAGTGCACAAATCCATGCACCAGGCCTCTAGTTGAAGATTATTTTTATTGATTTCAGAGGAAGAGAGGTGGAGAGAGATACAAACATCAGTGATGATAGAGAACTGATCGGCTGCCTCCTGCATGTTCCACACCGGGGATCAAGCCCACAACCCAAGCATGTGCCTCTGACTAGAATTGAACCTGGGATCCTTCAGACTGATGTGCCATCCACTGAGCCAAACCAGCTAGAGCTCTATTGATTTTTAGAGAGAGTAGAAGAGAGGGGGAGGGACAGGGAAAGAGAAACATCAGTTTAAGAGTTCTCTCTTTTTTTAAATATATTTTATTGATTTTTTTACAGGGAGGGAGAGAGAATTATAAACATCGATGAGAGGGAAATATTGATCAGCTGCCTCCTGCACACGCCCTACTGGGGATATACCCAAAACTAAGGTACATGCCCTTGACCGGAATCAAACCTGGGACCCTTCAGTCCGCAGGCCAATGCCCTGTCCAGTGAGATAAACCAGTTTTGGCGAGAATTCTCTTTTTAAAGTAACCTGGGTCTGGCAATTTTGGGAAGGAAAAAACTTTTTTTTAAATATTTTATTGATTTTTCACAGAGAGGAAGGGAGAAGGACAGAGTGCCAGAAACATTGATGAGAGAGAAACATTGATCAGCCGCCTACTGCACACCCCATACAGGGGATATGCCTACAACCAAGGTACATGCCCTTGATAAGCATAGAACCTGGGACCGTTGAGTCCGCAGGCTCACACTCCACTGAGCCAAACCGGTCTTGGCGGAAGGAAAAAAATTAATGATTTGATTTGTTTATTAGATAAAGGACTATTTTGACTTTATATTCTTGAGTCAATTTTAAAGTATCTTTTTATTACGGAAAATTTCAAACATGGAAAAATAGAACAAAACATGTAATTATCCCCTATATACCCAGCACCCAGTTTCTTAAGTCAGTTTTGCTAAGCTTTTTTTTTTTCCAGAATTTATCTATTTCATCTAAGTTCCCAAGTGTTTTTGATGTAAAGTTATTCATAATATCTTCTCATCTTTTTCTCATCTTTTTTTTACCTTGAAAACTTCTATAATTTTGTCTCTTTTCGTTACATATATATATATATATATATATATATATATATAAAATTGATTTTCTACCGAGAGGAAGAGAGATAGTTAGAAACATCTATGAAAGAGAAACATTGATCAGCTGCCTCCTGCACACTATGTACCGAGGATGTGCCCACAAGCAAGGTACATGCCCTTGACCGGAATCAAACCAGGACCCTTCAGTCCGCAGGCCAATGCTCCATCCACTGAGCCAAACCGGTTTGAGCTCTTTTCATTCTTTTTTTTTTTTTTTTTTTTTTAAATATATTTTATTGATTTTATACAGAGAGGAAGGGAGAGAGATAGAGAGTAAGAAACATCGATGAGAGAGTCATCGATCAGCTGCCTCTTGCACACCCCCTACTGGGGATGTGCCCGCAACCACGGTACATGCCCCTGACCGGAATCGAACCTGGGACCTTTCAGTCCGCAGACCGACGCTCTACCACTGAGCCAAACCGGTTTCGGCATCTTTTCATTCTTAATGTTGGTTACTTGTGCTTCCTCTTTATTTTCTTATCAGAGATTTGACAATATTAAAAGTCTTACTTATGGGGGTGTGGGGGCTGACCAGGAATCCAACTCCCAACTATTTGTTTTACACAAGGATGCTCCAAGCAACTAATCCACCCCACCAGGGCTGGACTTTTTAAAATTATTATTACTAGAGGCCTGGTGCACGAAATTCATGCATGATGTGTGTGTGTGCTGCAATCTCTCCCATCTGGGACTCCTCAAGGGATTTAAAACTGCCCATTTAGGCCCGATTCCAGGCAATTGGACATTCCTCTCACAATCCAAGACTACTGGCTCCCAACCTGATTGCCTGATCACCCTCTAACCACTCCCCTGCCAGCCTGATTGACACCTAACTTCTCCCCTGCCTGCCCAATTGCTCCCTTGCTGGCCTGGTCGACCCTAACTGTCTTCCCCTGGAGGCCTGGTTGTCCCCAACTGCCCTCCCCTGCCAACCTGGCCCTCCCCAACTCTCCTCTCCTACAGCCCTGAGTCCCCCCAACTGTCCTCCCCTACAGACCTTGTTGCCCCCAACTGCCCTCCTCTGCCAACCCCGTCACTCCTAACTGCCTTCCCCTGCTGGCCTGATTGCCCACAAGTGCCCTCTCCTGCTGGCCATCTTGTGGCAGCCATCATTGACCACATGAGGGTGGCCATCTTGTGTGTGGAGTAATGGTGAATTTGCATATCACCTCTTTATTATATATTAATAGGATTTTTAATCCTCACCTGAGGATTTTAAAATTGATTTTAGAGAAAGAGGAAGGGGTGGGAAGAAAAAGAGAGATACATCAATGTGTGAGAGAGAAACATTTATCTGTTGCCTCCTGTACACGCCCTGACCAGGAATTGAATCTACAAACTTTCTGGCGTATGGGATGATTCTCCAACTAACTGAGCCACTGGCAGGGACTATTAATAATCTTTTAAAGACAAACCTTTGACATTGTGGCTCTTCTCTGCCGTGTTTGTTCTTTTGTTCATTTCTGCTCTCTTGGGCCTGTTCTATTCTTTTTCTAATGTCTAAAGATGTGTACTTAGCGCACTAATTCCCTTTCATTCTTTCCTAATTAAGTGTCTAAGTCTCTAAATTTTCTTCTGAATTGCTGCATGTCTCATTTTTATTGTTCAGTTCTTAAGGTTGTCTAATTTCTATGATTTCTTCTTGGATCTATATGTTATTTGGTCATACTTCTTAATTTGCAGCTCCGTGGGGTTTTCCCTACTTATTTTTTGTATTGATTTTTAACCGAATGGTATTTTGATCTGAGTATTATCAGTCTTTTGACATTGATTAAGATGTACTTTGACTACTAGTATATGGTTAATTTTTGTAAATATTTCATTTAATTGTGAATAATTAGTTTACCTGAGCAAAAGCTTGTTAAATGTGTTCAAGTCTCTATATATTAGTAATTTTTCACTTTCATAATTGACCAAAAAGGATTTGTGGAGATTTCGCACTATGACTGGATATTCTTGTTCTCCTCTTACTTCTACCTGGTTTTTCTTTGTGGAACTATGTTATTAGGTGTATAGTTTTTAAATTGGATCTTGATGAAATAAATCTTTTATTGTGCAGGGACCCTCTTTTATCTAGTGATACTGTTTTCAGTGAAGTCTATTTTATCTGATCTTAATACAGCTACCCTGGCTTTTTGTTGGTTGATTTTTCCTTGTGGCTTCTCCCATGTTTTTACATTTAGGTATTCATTCTAGCTTTTATTAGGTTGGCTTATCGGAGTATCTAGTTAGTCCTTTTGATGAGAAATGGAATTCTCTTTTAAAAAAAAATACTGCAGTTGATTTGCTAATATTTTAGAGAGGATATTGGCATTTCTATTCATGAGTGAGACTGGTTAGTAATTAGGATGACATTATTTATTATACACACTGATACACTTTTGAGAGTGAAAGGGAGAGCTGATAATAATTACCCTAGGATAACAGACATAAACCAAGACCACCAGAGCAAACAAGGAGCCTTTCAATTTCTCTGATCACATTCTGTTGTATTATGTGAGGTTTGCAAAATGAAACAGGAAGCTTATGTGCCTTTTTACAATGATCTTGAATAGGATAAATTACTTAATGTCTGTTTCTCTAAGTTTTGTAGAATTGGTTTCTTAAAAATCATCTGAACACGAGAAGTAGGTGAGAGTGAGTGTTCCCAGGGAGTGTGTCTGGGCTCAGAAAGAAATTGTTAACCTTCCATCTTGTGTACTGTTTTAATTTTTTAAAGCCTCTCTCCGTTAGGGTTTCATGTTTGTCCCTACTAGTTAGTTGTGTGATCCTCAGGTAAATGACTCATGTCTCTGAACTTCTGTTTCCCCTCCGCACAGTGGAGGTGATAAGCCTTACCTGACAGGGTCATTGTGAAAATTAAAGAACATTTCTTAGCACGCAGTGGAGTCTCTTATATTAGTGTCTCTTTTCCTGTAGTTGATCTTTAAAAGCTCAGATTTATCTTCTTAGATAAAACGGAGACTGCCTACTTGACCCTTTGTCTTCTCACAATCCTTCAACAGGACTTCATTGACTTAACCAGAGAAACCAGACCGAGGCCAAAGGATCGCAGTGCCATCTGTGTGATTGACCTGACAAGAACGGAGGAGGAAAACAGACCTATTGCCACTCTTGACTTGACTCTGGAACCCGTTGCTCCCTCCCAGAAGGAGTCAGCCAATCCTCAGACATGTGCCAGCCTCCCCGGCAAAGAGGCGACGGAAGGGCGGGCGGACAGGAGCTCGTGGCCCGCAGCGCGGAGGATCATTAACAGCGACCCTGTGGATTTGGACCTTTTGGAGGAATCCGCATTTGCAGGCTCCCAACCCCCTGCATCCATCCGCGGGGCCCCTGTGTGCCCGGCACAGCCGAACTGCAGCTCAGCCGCCTTCAAAGATGACTTGAGCTTCTTGTCCAGCCTAGATGTTCACTCCCTCTCCCCAGTAAGCAATAATGGCAGCAGCCGTCAAAGGCTGCCCTTGCCATGCCCTCAGCAGGATGTCCCTTGCCCACCACAAGCCTTGCCATGCCCATTGCAATCCTTGCCATGTCCACCACGAGCCTCCTCCTGCCCACCACGAGCCTTGTCGTGCCCATCACAACCTGCGCAGTGCCAACTACAAGCTTTGCCTAACCTGCCTCAAGAAATGCCATGCCTTCAGAATATGTCATGCTCTCAGCAAAGTATGACAAGCCCACCTCAGGACTCCTGGCATCCTCAGCACTTACCATGCCCACCTCAGGACTCCTGGCATCCTCAGCACTTACCATGCCCACCTCAGGACTCAACATGGCATCCTCAGCACTCACCGGGCCAACCTCAAAACTCAACATGGCATCCTCAGCACTCACCGGGCCAACCTCAAAACTCATCATTGCATCCTCAGCACTCACCAGGCCCATCACAAGACTCTCTCTGCCCGTCTCAAGACTCTCTGGGCCTACCTCAAGGTGTACCTGGCCCACCTCAGAACATATCCTGTCCACAAGAAGTGGCACATCTGCAAGACATGCCACCGGCACTGGGAGATATGCCCCAGTCAGGAGACATGTCACAGTCATTGCGAGATGTTCCATGGTCACCAAGAGATGCACCACAGACCCCAAGCTATGCACCACAATCACCGAGAGATACACCGCTGCCACCAAGAGATACACTGCCATCACCAAGAGATGCACCACAGACACCAAGCTATGTACCGCAATCACCAAGAGATACAATGCGGTCACCGAGAGATACACCACGGTCACCGAGAGATACACCGCGGTCACCAAGAGATACACTGAGGTCGCCCAGAGATGCACCGCAGACACCAAGTTATGTACCGCAGTCACCACGAGATACACTGTGGTCACCAAGAAATGCACCACAATCACCAAGATGTGCACCCCAGTCACCAACAGGTGTGCCACAGTCACCAAGAGATACACCGCAGTCACCAAGATGTGCATCACAGTCTCCAAGAGATATGCCACACTTAACTGCAGAAGTCTCACATTTACCGGATGTGCTACATTCACCTGGAGACATGCCACCCTTGCTAGAAAACAGGCCTGACTCTATCCCAAATGATGTACAGAACCATGACACTCCTATGGATGTCTCAGGTCCATCTTCTCCAAGCTGCTCTCTCAGCCCACAGTCTCCACAGTCTAAAACTTCCTTAGAGAAAATTCCCTGGCTCTCTGTCACAGAAACTCCAGCCAGAAAGGGGATGTCAATGTCAGAGCCTGCCAACCCCGGGTCTGCCCACATACAAGCACGATCACCAGCAGGCGTGTTGTACAACAGACCATGCCTGCATAGACTGAAGTACTTCTTACGACCTCCGGTGCATCACCTCTTCTTCCAGACACTAATACCCGATAAAGACGTGAGAGAGGTGAGCTAACCTGGCCTCCCCCAGGGCCTAGATGCCCTCTGAACAGGCCTAGCATAAGGTTAGTATGCTAGCAGGAATCCAAGCCTGAGAGAACATGCCCAATATGAACTTGACATTTTTATCTTCCCCTGTTTGTGAAACCATTTAATGTATTGCCAGACGTTGGGCTACATTTAACACTAGTGGGTCTTGATCCGGCTTCTTGAAGGGTTCTAGAATCTGCAGTAGGGGCTGTGTGTAAATTAAATAAGAGTCCAGAGATGAAACATAATTTAGAAAGGCATTAGGGGAAAGCAGAGGAGCCTGGCTGAAGAAATCGAGTTCTTGCCTCAGGACCCCATGCTTTTTATTAACACAAATTGTCCTAAGGCAAGGTGGAGACATACACTTCAAAGGTTAGGGTTTCTTACAGAAGCATTGTCAGAATGGGCAATTGCCTTTGGGTGTTCAGGTGTTTGGCCAACAGGAGGCAATGATAGGTAGATTAAGATGCCCTGAGCTGTCTGACAGCAAGCATTCAATTTAATGCATCCTTTTCAGGTTTGGGGAAATGCCTTCAGCCATTCCCAACAGGCAATAACATATGTGACTCAACCCTTGGGTTGATGGAACTTGGGTGAGTCTCCAAGAACCATCAACTTTTCAGTGAAACTCTTGCAATTATGACATGCTGGAATTGGCTTCTGGCAATGTATGACAAATGCTTACTTTCTAAATCTCAGGGTTTATTTTATCTATAAAGTAGGAATAGGTACTTTAAAAAAAAAAAAAAATATATATATATATATATTTTTTTATTGATTTCAGAGAGTAAGGGAGAGAGAGAGAATCACTAATCAGCTGCCTCCTGTATACCCCCTCCTGGGGATTGAGCCCACATCCTGGGCTTGTGCCTTTGACCAGAATTGAACCCAGAACCTTCAGTCTGCAGGCCAATGCTCAATCCACTGAGTCAAACTGGCTGGGGCAATAATATATATTTCTTTCTTTTTTTTCTTTTTTCTTTTTTAAATATATTTTATTGGTTTTTTACAGAGAGGAAGGGAGAGAGATAGAAAGCTAGAAGTGTCGATGAGAGAGAAACATCGACCAGCTGCCTCCTGCACACGCCCCACCGGGGATGTGCCCGCAACCAACGCACATGCCCCTGACCGGAATCGAACCCCGGGACCCCTCAGTCCGCAGACCGATGCTCCACCACTGAGCCAAACTGGTCTCGGCAATAATATGTATTTCTTAAGGTTGTTGTGAGAAGTGAAGATAAGTTCAATGTACAAAAATTGTTTTATAATTAATGCTATTATTCCTATATCAAACTTTTTTTTTAAAATATATTTTATTGATTTTGTACAGAGAGGAAGGGAGAGAGATAGTGAGTTAGAAACATCGACGAGAGAGAGTCATCGATCAGCTGCCTCTTGCACACCCCCTACTGGAGACGTGCCCGCAACCAAGGTACATGCCCTTGACCGGAATCGAACCCGGGACCCTTCAGTCCCCAAGCCGACGCTCTATCCATTGAGCCAAACCGGTTTTGGCCTATATCAAACTTTTTAATGTTTGTTTTTATTCTGGTTATGAATGTAATATATGTCCATTATGGAAAAATTGAAAATACAAAAGAACATAGAGAAAAAAATCACCTATAATTCCACTACCCAGATAATAGAAACCACTTTTCACTTTTTTTCTCTCCCAGACTGAATATTTACTAGCAAGTTAGAGAGAGAGAGAGAGAGAGAAAGAGAGAGAGAGAGAGAGAGAGAGAGAGAGAGAGAGAGAGAGAGAGAGAGAAAGAGAACAAAATGGGATCTTTGTCTAACAGTAAGATATATTTCTTCCTCTACTTCAGTACCTGATAAATTATTATAACTACCCCTAAATATCTTATCACCCTCACCCCAAAATCAGCTTAGGCTAGCTCTTGACTCTTTGCTTTTCTTGCTATGCTTTATTTTAACATAGAGGAAGTCATGTTATATGTAGAATACTGAATTCTTGTTTTTTAACTTAATATAAGCATTTCCCCATGTCATTGAACATTTTTAGATAAGCCCTTCCAATCTCTCTTTTTTTTTAAATTATGAATATTTCAAATGCATGGACAACTTTGCTGTCTTCAACCTATTCCAGAACCTCTTGTTTTTAAGTCTGTAGAAACCTATCCTAATTTATTTCTCTTTGTCTCTACAGAACAGGGGCCAAAAACTAGAACCCATACCCCATCGAAGACTAAGGATGGTAACAAACACCATTGAAGAAAATTTCCCCCTGGGGACGGTGCAGTTTCTGATGGACTTCGTGTCCCCCCAGCACTACCCACCCAGAGAAATCGTGGCGCACATCATCCAGAAAATCCTGCTCAGCGGCTCTGAGGCCGTGGATGTTCTGAAGGAGGCCTACATGCTCCTCATGAAAATTCAACAGTATGAGCCTTAGCTGTGGGCAGCCCTGCTAGGGAGCCTGGACTGGGGCTCTGTTCTGCTAGCCAGTAGAGAGGGTGACTTGGTTGTTGGATTACTAGGGGACATACTAGAGTTATTGGGATTGCTAGTTGACAGGAAAGCCAATCCACACTGGCGGTCACAGATAGTAAAAGACTCCGTAATGCTGCATGTTACTAGAAACCTAGGAATGAAACGATATAATTCAGTTAAAAACAGTTACAAGGACTCGTTTTTCAGCTCTGCTGTGCTTCTGCTCTCGGGCTGCATGTGGCCGCCTTCTCAGCCTCTAGCTTTCGCGATCCTCTGAGTGGGCTTCCTTTCTAAGCACACAGCGTTCTGAAATTGAGGCTTTAGGCTTTACTTGGCATAACCTCAGACATGAGCCCCTCTGTGGACAATCCCTGCGAACTGAGGGTAGACTATCACTGGATCCATAGGCTTCATCCCAGGCTCCTGATGGCAAAGCCAGTGGCCTAACTAACGACGGTTCATTTCCTCAAGGCAAAATGGGGTCACTAATGCCTTCCAAAGGGGAAGTGGATGGGGGGGGAGGCAGAGAAAGAGAGGGACATCCTGCCTCCAGGTGAACGTATGGTATCGAGGGGGCGGGCAGCAGCGCTCAGGATCAGAGGGGCTCTGGCTACTGTCACCTACACCCCAGCCCCTCCCCGCTGAGCTCTCAGAACGCTAACGGCGCGCCCCTTGACTTTCAGGCTCCATCCAGCTAATGCCAAGACAGTGGAGTGGGACTGGAAGCTGCTCACGTACGTCATGGAGGAAGAGGTAACCGGGCAGTTATGAGGGGGGCGTCTCCTGCAGAGGAAATTCCCACCAGAAACAGCAGTAACAGCAGAGCAGATAGTCAAGTCTTTGCCATTATTTCCTTATTCTCTCATCCCCATCAGACAATGCCTACTGACATGGTATGTGCTGTCTTCTCATTTAAGATTGAGGACATTCACGTATCCCTCTCTTTCTCCAGCTCCCCTGGGAAATGACCGTAAATGAGTAGGGAAGTTGTAAATCCATGGCAATGAAAGTGAGAACATTCGGTCTGAATGAAGATGGGGAGATTAGAGGAAATGTGAGAGTGATGATGGATGAAGCGAGGCAGAGAAGCCAGAGCCAGAGGCCATGTGGGAAGGGCCGCAGCCAAGGAGGGAGAAAACCTGCCGAAAGGACGTGAATGTGTGGCCAGTGGACACAGACCACAGTGTGGGGAGGGCCAGAGGGAGGAGGGCGGGGTCTCAGTGAAGGAGGGCAAACAGAGAAATCGAGGACAATTAAAAATAATAATACTGCCCTCACTGGTTTGGCTCAGTGGTAGAGCGTCGGCCTGCGGACTAAAGGGTCCCGGGTTCAATTCCGGCCAAGGGCATGTACCTTGGTTGCGGGCACATCCCCAGTAGGGGGTGTGCAGGAGGCAGCTGATCGATGTTTCTAACTCTCTCTCCCTTTCCCTTCCTCTCTGTAAAAATAATAAAATATATTTTAAAAAATAATAAATAATACTACTACTAATAAATAAAATGGTGATGGTAGCAGAACTTGATATATTTATAACAAATCATTTGTTATACATTTAAAATGGATGAATTTTATGGTTTGTCAGCAAAGTTGTTTTTAAAAATAAAAAAAAAACCAATTTGGAAGAGTATTCTCAAAATTCAACACTATTCTTGAGGAGGTGAAAGAACTAAACTGATAATGTCAGGCAGTGTAGAAAGGATTCAAAAGAAGCTTTAAGAAAATAAAAAATCTTCACCAGAAAGAAATGATTTTCTTAGTATACTGCATGGATCTCCAATGTAGTAAATAAATTTTAACATAGTCCTTACACTGTAAGCAATATTCAGTTATCATGTTTAAAGTCAATTTTATACAAAGCATGGAAGACAATTTTATTCGCTTTGACAGTGGAAAATAGAAAAGTATAGAAGATAAAGGATGGGAAATGAAAATAGCATCTCTGAGAATAGTAGGGCTATTACGGTGTCCTTATCTTAGCACGGAGAGACAGACTGTGTTATTTGTAGAGGTTGGGACATAAATTGAGGTAGTTATTTTAGGAAGAGAAGTGGGATATGGCATAAATGAGATAAGTCATCATCTAGCATAGCAGAAACCAATAGGTAATGTCAAAAGCTGATAAACAAAAGCACAGTGTGATAAGAGCGTTTTTTAGAGATCTTTAGGGTAACCTACAGAAAGTTCAGAGCTCTGCCCTGCGGGCGCTGGAGGACAGGTGGCTGCGGAGAGGTGTCACGGGAAGATTCAGAAATCAGCACAAGTCCTTGAGTTGCCCAAAAGCATTTATATCAATAAAAATGAGAGAACAAGTACCTTTGGAAGACAAAGGTATCCCATCCCCACATCCTCCAAAAAAAGAAAGGAAGAAATGGCAGATACTTAGAACGGCCCTTCTTCCTGCTGACCAAGAGGTCAGTTTCTGAAAACGCGCCTGCCCTGGGTGCTTGAGAAGTCCCCGCAGAGGCCGGACGTGGTGGGTGCCCTCTCGTTCTCTGAAGCTTCGCAGCCTGAGTGCCCGGCCTGGACCCGGCGCTGTCCCCCCGGAAAGGGAAACGCTGACTGTGCCTGCGCCTGCTGAGTGACAGCGACATCGGCTCTGGTTAGAATGACCACAGGAACCAGGACACGGAGACTCGGGCCTGCGTTAAATAAGAGGACCAAACAGACAAACAGCCGGAAATGAGGTCTGAGTGCCCGCAAAGCCCACCAGACTGCCGGCCAGTGAGGCTGCATCCACTGCTGCCGCTGCGGGAGGTCACCGCCGGGTGTCGTGGTGGCTGGGCCAGCACTCAGCAGAGCTGTTGGCGAGCCGGCTCCCGCCTCTGCTCTGAGAGCCGCAGTGAAGGCTTTATTCTGAAACTGATAGACTGAGTGAGGGACCCCCTTCCCTGGCCGTCTCATCATCGGGCAGTCTGCACCCTGAGCCCCAGGAACACCGTTTCCCTCTCCTGTGCTGACTGTCTGCCTGCTCTCGCCTGCCAGTGCAGGCGCACTGTGGACTTGTGGCCTTCCTTGGGACTGAGTCTTTTTTTTATTTTCAATATATTTTATTAATTTCTTACAGAGAGGAAGGGAAGGGATAGAGGGCCAGAAACATCAATGAGAAACATTGACCAGCTGCCTCCTGCACACCCCCCACCGGGGATGTGCCCGCAACCAAGGTACATGCCCTTGACCGGAATCGAACCTGGGACCTTTCAGTCCGCAGGCCGACACTCTACCGCTGAGCCACACCGGTGTTGGCGGGACTGAGTCTCACTGAGAGCCCCGTGCTCAGTCCCCGGGAGATGCAATACTTCTCATTCTCTCGCCCAGGGACAGCATCTGCCTGGGCGCGTCCTCTTCCTGCGCTACGTGGTGCAGACGCTGGAGGACGACTTCCAGCACACCCTGCGGAAGCAGCGGCAGCACCTGCAGCAGTCCATCGCCAGCATGGTGCTGTCCTGCGACAAGCAGCCCCACAACGTCAGGTGACCAGCCCGAGCGCTGGGGCGGCGGGGGCAGGGGGGTGGGGGGACCGGAGAACGGCAGATGGGGAGGCTGTGACAGGGACGGTCACTGAGCCATGGACAGCCCAAGACACATTCCCCCTGTGCCAAGCCGAGGCTGGGCACCAGAGGTGCGTGTTTCTCCTGAGGCCATCAGACTTCCTTTGGTCTGTTCACCATTGTCCCCACAGCCTCAGGAGACCTAAGAGAAACCTCACTGGCAGTCCGTCTAGGGATAGAAAAGCAGTAAGTGGAGAATCCCCAAAGAGCACAGGACAGCGTAGCTGGGTTTTAATTTAAAACTACCAGTTTGAATGAGAGCAGTTCTGTCCACCACTGTGCGGTGTGAGTGCAGGCATTGGATGGAGGAGGCAGCGGGAGCCAATGCTGTCCGTCACTTTCATTCCCGCCCCTCCTGGCGGGGCCTCTCTCTGCACAGAGTGATTCTTGGGTTTAAAAACAGGCGTTTGTGGCCTCAAAATGCAAACTGGGTCCTCCATTTGAGCTCTATCAGTGAAGAAAGCCATCTGTTCCAGGTGGAAAACGAGCTGTCTTTGATTCAGTAAGAGGTGGCTAGACGATTAAGGCCTAGGGGGTTAGGAGCCCAGGTTAAGGCTGCACTTCTGAGCGCCATCCAACCAGACAAAAGGTGCAGCTTTTTCTTCTCTCTTTTCCCCGGCAGAGATGTGATCAAGTGGCTGGTTAAAGCGGTGACCGAAGGCGCGTCACCTCAGCCCCCAAATGGGAGTCTCCCCGGCCCGGGAACAGGCACCGCGAAGGCCGGCGGCAGCCACGCGCCTCCCCCGCCTGCTCTGACGAAGAACGCCACGCCGGTGTAAGGGCAGGAGCCCTGTGCCGGGGCTGCGGGATTGACCAGAAAGGGCCCGCTCCCTCGGAGCATTCCCCCGTTAGCCAGCCCAGAGCAAACGGTTCTCACTAAAGACTGTCTTGTTTGACCAGAGGCTGAATTTCCAACCCCAGAGGCAGAACAGCCACAGATGCCCCCTCTCCCCCAATAGACAGATAGGACTCCACTGAGGGAACGCAGGTTTATAACCGAAGTGAAAACACAGGGACACGGCCCTCCCCTTTGGACACCAAGAGGCAGTGCAGTGCAGCTGCGTCCTCCGCCTCACGGACAGAGAGAAGGGGCGGGGAGTGGGCGCTCGGCAGCCGCTAGTCCTCGAGGCCCTGCGTCCCTCTCCTCCCATCCTGGGCAGGGTCTGGCCGTTCAACCTGCCAGGCCTGCCAGCTCAGAACAGCGGTGGCTCAGACCGGGCGGCCCAGGCGCTCGGACAGCAGCGGGAAGAGATGCCTGGAGTTTCTTGGTGGGGTTGAGAGCGGTCTGGTACTTTTAGAGAGATGCCAAGATTTTAGCGGCTGGAGCTGTCCTTATACAAGTAACCCTCTCTCCTGTGTCCTCATGTTGTGAGGAATCAGTCACACGCGGCATTTCAAACACACCATTTGTGCTTAAGTTCACAACACTATGTTACAGTCTGGTTGCACAGATTTTCATATAAGGCCTACGGGTTTTGACTAACTTAGGAAACAGTCTTGTATCAAAATGGAGAATGTCCTGGAGCAGAAAAGCACTTACTTGGGCAGCCCTGAAGGAGGGTCATCCCAGAACCCCGGCCTACAGATCCGAGAGAGGCTGCCACGGGTCCTTTACCGGAAGCTAATCTCACATGAATAATAGTAACGACATTCATTTTAAGTGAATATTAATAGAAATAAAAGTCTATTTACTATGATCTTATCAATAACAATAGGCACTACTGTTTACCATTCTGGCTGCCCCATGTCCCTCAGAGCACTCACCGCTTTCTGAACCAGGCCCTGCCAGTCATTTGTCAACTGGTGAACAGCCTGTCACTGCAGGCCGGAATCTGAGGCCCGTGCCTCTGGCCCACCTACTGTGTCACCGCCCTCAGGCTTTCAACAACAGCCTCTCTCCCGCCACAATGAAGATGCCTGTTAGAAAAGGCGGGCTCCGGCCTCGCGCCCCTGAGGGCTGTCCAGGTTCCTTCTGCCACGTTAGCCTGGTGGGGTCTCACGGGAGAGGGCCACGTCCCACCAGTTGAAGTTCTGAGAAGGAACTGAGCAAAGTGAGTGTAAAGGAAGCAGTAATAGGAGAAAACCCTATGGTGAATATCTACAGGGGTTGGGCAAAGTAGGTTTGCAGCTGGAAAAAAACAGAATACAATAATTAATAAATAATGCAAGAACAAGCTCTGCATTTCACAACTGTAAGCCTACTTCTTCCCACCTCTGTATTTCCCCCTGAATCAGAGATTCAAATACTTGGTAGCAGTTTCTCCATCTGCACAGCGAAAGTTATAGATGATCCTCAAGGCACTCTAGGTCCTTATGATTGTATGTCTCTCTCTTTGAATTTAAAAGCAGCTTGCTTTGCAGCTCACCCCCAGGTTCTGAGAGGTTCAGATAGTATGGTCTGGCAGAAGGGACTCAGGTAGGTGAAACGGCTAGACAAAAGCATGCTAGTGGCTTGAGTAGTCCTCCCTGACCTGTGTGCTTCTGAGACCTTGTAGATGGCTGGTGGGCCTCCTCCCTGCCAGCAGGTGGCTCCTCCCAGCCGCCGCTCACCCGCCTCTGTTCTGGCCCAGGATCGTGTGCCAGCTGCAGAGGATGCTGTCCATCGCCGTGGAGGTGGACAGGACCCCCACCTGCAGCTCCAATAAGATTGCCGAGATGATGTTTGGGTTTGTGCTGGACATTCCCGAGAGGAGTCAGAGGTGAGTCTTAGTGCTGTCTTCCTTTTTCATTCCTGGAACATCATTTTGAAATGAAATTCCAAACAGTAGTGGGGGGTGGGGTAGTTCCTGTTTCTATAACCTGTAAAAGACAGGTTTTTTTGTTGGTTTGTTTTTAAATATATTTCATTAGTTTTTTTTACAGAGAGGAAGGGAGAGAGTAACATCGATCAGCTGCCTCCTGCACACCCCCTACTGGGGATGTGCCTGAACCAAGGTACATGCCCTTGACTGGAACTGAACCTGGGACCCTTCAGTCCACAGGCCAATGCTCTATCCACTGAACCAAACCGGCTAGGGCAGTGGCCGTCAAATGCATTAGTCCACAGAGCCAAATATCAACAGGACGACGATTGAAATTTCTTTTGAGAGCCAAATTTTTTAAACTTCTTCTAATGCCACTTCTTCAAAATAGACTCGCCGAGGCCGTGGTATTTTATGGAAAAGCCACACTCAAGGAGCCAAAGAGCCGCGTGTGGCTCGCCTTGTGAGCCGAAGTTTGCCGACCACGGGGTTAGGGCAAGAAGACAGTTTTCAATGAATTCTTTTTTTTTTTTTTTTAATATATTTTATTGATTTTTTACAGAGAGGGAGAGAGATAGAGAGCTAGAAACGTCGATGAGAAACATCGACCAGCTGCCTCTTGTACGCCCTCTACCGGGGATGTGCCCGCAACCAATGTACATGCCCTTGACCGGAATCGAACCTGGGACCCTTCAGTCTGCAGACCGACGCTCTACCACTGAGCCAAACCAGCTTCGGCTCAATGAATTCTTATTATTTGCAACTGAGTCATAATTTTTTTGGAAAAGTCGGGATACCTTAAATGGAGCGTAAACTTTCCTACTTTACCCATTAACTAATGATCTTACTCTTTCAAGGTTCACCTGCTAAGCACAACCTTCTCCCCTGACCCTCAGCCAGAGAGCCTGGCGTACCTGTCCATGGGCGGCCTGAGAGGCGGAGGAAGCAGCATGTCCAGTGTTAGAGATGATCAGAATGGGCAGGGCTGGGCCAGCGGAATGAGCCGAGGCAGAAAGACTAAAGCATTCCACTGGGAGGGGATACAGAAACAGAGTTTTTGGTTAGAATTAAGGATTCTTTCTTTGAACCAGCAATTTCAGAATCCAGAGAAAGATAAGTAAACCGGAATGAATATGAATTCGTGAACACTTGCTGGTACGGGGAGTAACTGGAGAGCAGTGTACATGTGACCCTCGGAGAAATTATCTCCCTCAGCTCTCTGCTCTTCACCCAACCCCGATGCTCCCAGATGCAGCCAAGCGTGTTCTTCCTCCGCTCTGGTTCCTCCATGGATGAAACTGTCCTACCAGACATTAGCCATTAGGGTGTAATGCAAACACAGGCGTCTGTTGGGTCCCTATTGTGCGCCAGTCATGGTCACGTTCTCATATTGTCATGAGACTAAAAAAGGAGAAAAATACTAAATGTGGAATAACTAGTCCAGGGTTACCCAGCTGAACAGATTCAGAACCGGAATTGAAGCCCAGGCCTTCTAAGTCCCAGGCTCATTGTCCAAAGGAGGCCGTCTGGGAGAGGTCAGGGAGAAGCTGTGCTTAGATGCTGTGTTGCTTTACCGCTTCATTTGGGTCCAATTCACTCCAGTCATTCATTTAAGCCCCGATTCTGCTGAGAGGGGAGAAGTCTGAGGACCACATAACTATCCACAAATTTAGATTCAATATAGACAAAAATCATTAAAGTAAAACGTGGCTCTACTTTCAAACTCTCAGAAGGGGCAAATTGGCACTCACCAAGTTATACTAAAAAATCCTTTATCTTAAGGTTCCTTGCTGAGAACAGTATCTAGCACACTGTGAACATCCAGAAATACTATTCTTAACATTAATTCTCTTAGTCACAGTATGAAGTAATTCTTAATGTCCTATTCAGTCTTCTCCAATACCAAGGTTCTCCCACTTCCCGTGGTTGTTCATGAACAAATCTGTGTCTGCCCGTCCCCAGGCCTGGTGAGTGCAGGCCTCCAGTGGGTTCTGTGTCTGGTGAGTGCAGGCCTCCATCATGTAGTGTGTAGGTTCTTTCTTAGCGGCCTGTTTCAGGGCAAATGAGAGCATCCAGGGGGAATGGTGGATCGTTCCTGGAAATGAGAGCCGGTGGTGAGCTCCCTCTTCACCTTTTCCACGCAGAGAGATGTTCTTCACCACCATGGAGAGCCACCTTCTGCGCTGCAAAGTGCTGGAGATCATCTTCCTGCACAGCTGCGAGACGCCCACCCGCCTGCCCCTGTCCCTGGCCCAGGCCCTGTACTTCCTGAACCACTCCAGGTCGCTGCTCAAGTGCCAGGTACTACCTCCCTCCTCGGGTCAGGCCAGGACACCTCCCCACCCGAGCATCACGTCCCAGTGACAGGAAGCTGCGTGAGCTTTTGCCGGGGGAGTGGCCATTAGCACGTGCTCTTGTCTCCACAGTCGGACAAAACCCAGTGGCAGATGTGGGATGAGCTGGTGGAGCACCTGCAGTTCCTGTTATCCAGCTACCAGCACGTTCTCAGAGGTAAGATGGCGTGAGTCTCACGAGGACAGTATGACGCGGTAATGTTACTGGGGATTCCAGTCAGTCAGCCTTGCTCCTTGGTTGTGCCTGTGAGGAGCAGGGGGTGACAGAGCTGGAATCACTGCTGAGAAACAAGAACCCGCCTGTTTTCGTGATAGCACGTACACAACACATGGGTCCTCACCAGGATTAGGAGTGAGCAAGAGTCATCAGACAGGGGAGGTGCTCAGTAAGTTCCTGACTCGCTCTGACAACTGACCCAGCCCATCCCTGCCATGTCTTTGCTGACTGACCACAGACATTACAGACATCCGTCAGTATGGGGCACAGCACGCATCAGCGGGAGGTAAAAGCGCACATCCTACAAAAGGGGGGAGGCATCCTGAGGCCTGGCAGACGGCTCTGCTCATCCCAGGCAAAGCGGAGAAAGAGCTGCTTCAAACGAGAATGATTTGTTAGCAAGGATTAGTGGGGCCTGGGAAAAGCAATGTGATTATTAGTGACAAAAGGAAAGACAGCGGCATTCCTCTTGAGGGGATGCCCGAGGAATGTCATATTCTTGCCAGAAGTCTATGACCTGGTCACAGGAAGACAAACCCATTTTGCGGGATTTCACAGAACAACTAGCCTGTGCTCCTCAAAAGTGCCACTTTCTTCAAAACAAAGGACCGAGAAATGGCTCCATTTTAAAAAGGAACTAAAGAAGCTAGAAAGTACAATCTTGGGGCAATTGATGATATTTAAACAGATTATAGAACTGCATTAATTTTAAATTTCCTATTTTTTATAATTATCCTGGCCTATGAATTTTTTAAAATATATATTTTTTAATACTGATTTTTTACAGAGAGGGAGAGAATAGAGAGTTAGAAACAATGATCAGTTGCTCCTGCACACCCTACTGGGATGTACCCTCAACCAAGGTACATGCCCTTGACTGGAATTGAACCTGGGACCTTCAGTCCGCAGGCCAATGCTCTATCCACTGAGCCAAATCAGTCAGGGCGACTGTAAGTGTTCTTGATCTTAGATCTATACTGAAGTATTGAGGGATAGAAAAAGGGCAGGATCTTATTCTCAAACAATAGAAAAAGTGTGTATATAACATTTATCTGCATGATCCTGTTGAGGTTGATTTTAGCTCAGTAGAGGCTCTTGGGAAGGTAAGGAAGTCCTAGAACTGAGGTGGATGTTATAGAGACAGAAAGAAAAAAAAATCTGGATTTAAGACAGAAGAGCAGAGTTTAAATCCAACCCGAGCACTTACTCTGCGCTGTGCAGCTAACTTGGTCTCTAGCCTGTTTCTCCTCCTGCAGAATGGAGTTGGTAATATTTAAGCTGCTAATGCTGCTTGCAAGTAGGTGTGAGGACTAAGGAGGCATGGCTTAGGCATACCTTGGTCTGCCTGTTTGCCTAACCAGGGGTAAGCCACAAGGGTCTTCTCTCTTTCAAGTTTTATAGATAGATAGATAGATAGATAGATAGATAGATAGATAGATAGGTACTTAGATAGATAGATTTTTTTACAGAGAGGAAGAGAAAGAGGGATAGAGAGTTAGAAACATCAATCAGCTGCCTCTTGCACTCCCCCCCCCGCCACTGGGGATGTGCCCACAACCAAGGTACATGCCCTTGACTGGAATCGAACCTGGGACCTTTCAGTCTGCAGGCTGACGCTCTATCCACTGAGCCAAACCGGTTTCAGCTCTTTCAAGTTCTTGTAACTAAACAGAGTGCAAAGTCAAGGCCACAGCATACACTTGCGTCAGGGAACGGCACCTGTCCTTCTCAGAACAAAGCCCCAAAGGCAAATTCCATGGGTACTTAGCCTCACTGGGCTTTATGTAACTTTCTTTTGGAGATCTAGCAGAAAGTTTAATATTAAAGCAACTTGTTTTTGTTTAAAGTTCACCTTTAAAACATCTTGTTCACTTGTTTTGCTTCCCAGGAAATAGACCTGTGTCATGAGCAATAGTGACGTAACATAGACATGGATTCTGATTTAATTACAGAATATTCTTATGCTTTAACTAAGGGAAAGGAAGGCCTCAGATCAGCATACAGGGGTGGCAAAAGTAGGCTTACTGCTGTAATACAAAAAAAGAACACAATAATTAATAAATAATACAAATACAAACTTCCAGGTCCTCACAAATGTAAGCCTGCTTTTGCCACCCACATTGTAAATGGGCCGTGACGCAATGCTCGCTCCTTTGTCCCTGACATCCTCTCCAGCTTCCATGGAGACCAAGTAGTTTGAAACAGTGTCCTACCCTGAATGGCACTCTGAAATGGTCAGTGTCCTGGTCAGTGAGGGCTCCCTAGTCATCTCTGCCTCTTCACATGATCTGAGGACATTGGGAGCTCAGCCTGTTGTCAGAGGTGGGAAGAAGGGGAAGGTGGCTGAAAAGTCTAACATGGAGAGAGGAAGCAAGACAAGCACATTCACATACATTGGCTTATACCATCCAATGACCTTGGGAAAGCCACTGACCTTTCACAGACGGGACACAAAGACAGAGAAGAAAGCAAAGGCAGAGCCAGGACTACACTCGGGGCTGTTGCCAAAGTCTGCAGGGAAAACACTGGAAGGAATTACTTTTCTGTGAAATCAGAAAGTGAGCGTCTAAGGAACTCCCTGTACATGACTAAGTTACTTTTGTGCAGACCCTGGACCTTGGGGAGAAGTCTATCCGAACCTTCACATTTTACAGACATTCCCAGAGCAGAGCAGCCCCACAGACATGGGCGCTGGGCTGTCCGCTGAGCTCATCGTCCGGCTAAAAGAAACCACCCCAACCCCGTTCTGAGCACAAATGTATTTCCTCATTTGGCCTGTTCGACAATGAGAGGAAGTGGTTCAGTAAACCAGTACCACAGTAAACATACTAAAGATAAGTTCAGTATTCCTTTGCAATTCTTTCATACTTAGGAAAAATCTTCCTGAAGATACTCAAAATTCACTTGAATATTTTCCAAGTGCTTTATATTAATCTTAAATATAGTTTCGTTGTTTAAACCAACAAGGGAAAATTAAAATGAATAGAATTTGTTTAAAGTCCGAAAAACTTGAGGACCAGCGAAAAGAACAATGGACCTTCTGGAAACAGTTACCACAAGCGCCCACTTGGCCTTGACTTGTGTCCCAGTAACTAGTCCACAAGTCTGCCCAGACCCTGCCTACTAAACTGGACTTCAGTGTCCTAAACCACAAAGGAATAAAAGCACTCATTTCAACTGACTTGTTCCCTCTTGCAGAGCACTTACGGAGTTCGGTGATCGATCGGAAAGACTTAATCATCAAAAGGATTAAGCCCAAGCCCCAGCAAGGCGACGACATCACAGTGGTGGACGTGGAGAAGCAGATCGCGGCCTTCCGCAGCCGCCTGGTGCAGATGCTGGGCGAGCCGCTGGTCCCCCAGCTCCGAGACAAAGTGCACTTGCTGAAGCTGCTGCTCTTCTACGCTGCGGACCTGAACCCCGACGCAGAGCCCTCCCCCCAGCACTGGGGCAGCCGCTGAGGCCCCTCTGCACTGAGCACCGAGAATACCTCTGGAACTGGACCACCTACTACTTGCAAGTTCGGAAAGTCTGGAAAGTAGTAAAAAGTCTTACAGGACCAAACCTATCCTATTTATCTGTAGGTTATTAACTTTCTAACTCTTTAGTAAATAGCTTTTTTAAACTAATCCTATCCTAGCCTATTCTCAAATATGGCTTAAATATACAAGGTGTATATATTTTTTGATAAATTATTTATCTATACTTTTTGAAACAGGTACTATATGCACTTACATGTTTGACATTCCCATTCAGGATATGAAAAAATCCTCTGAGCAAATCCTAGACATCAAATGTTACTCAGGTACTGATGCCTGTTCTGAAGGAGAAAGACACATCCGCTTCTCCCTAACGGAACACAAACATCAATATCAGACCTGTTGTATTGCCTATGAATTTGATTTTGTGGCAAGTCTATTAAGATATAATGTAATTCGGAAAGGATGGAAAGTTAGATATTAAAGAGGATGAGTGTTAAAAAATGTTAAAAGGATACAATAAAAAGGCGATGGTTTTTCAAATACCAAGTTTACTTGCTTACCAGGACTGTGAATAAGCAGAATGCAATAACCACTCTTATTTGAGAAAGTAGTAAAGAATTTTATTATTAAAACAAGTAAGAGATACGAGCTTAACAGAAGACACAATAAATTAATTGTTCTCATCCTTTGAGACGCCAGCTCCCCATGCAGACACGACCCCTCCAAAGCGCGCACAGCAGTGCTCCGAGCCAGCGCTCAGGACAGGGACGGAGCACGGGCAGTGAGGAGTGAACAGATGCTCCCCCTGGTTCCTGTCCCCGGAAGCTCTGTGGCTCAGTGGGGGCCTGGTTGCGTACAGAACCTTTTTTCATCCTTCCATGAGGCTCTTAGAAAAAGTGGCAGGTCCCGGTGACACCTTTTCACGTGAATGCCTGGACTAGAAGCTCCATCTAGTTACCACCATCTTTATTCTTAAAAACTTTAACATCCATTAATCTGTACCAAAGCAGTAGGCTGAATTTTCTCCCTTAGAAACTTTCCTACCAAATTGGAGTTAACTTAATCTCACCTTAAAGTGCAGCAGAGGATATGCAGACTGGTGTCTGCTGGCAGGTAAAGAGAAGCCCTGCCCAGCAGAACTGCGGGAGGCAGCCCAGGAGGAGCTGGAGCGAGGGCTCCGTCTCCCGCAGCGCGGTCCCTGCCGGGTGGCTCTTCTTCGCGCCCAGATCTCGTAGGCCCACACCACGCACGGAGCCCACGGCTCCAGCCGTCAAGAGGGCCAGAGGCTAGTCAGTGAGCACCCCTACTCCCCGACTTGCCCATGCCCTCGCTGACCCTGGTCTTTAAAAGGAATCAAGAAGTCTGGCTTTGGGAACAACGTAAGCATTATCTACCTCGTAAGCAATGGTAAGTTCTTATCTAGGCTGAATAATGCAAAAATAGGTGCTCGGGCCCCTACACATCACCGCTGAGAGCACTTAGTCTACCTTTAAATTAAAGAACGCACAGTGGCTTCTTCCACACAAGGACAGGCTTTGCACTAATGTTTCTCAAAAACCAATTAAGTCTCCAGTTCTAGCCTCAGGTTAAGGTTTAAAAAAAAACAAAAAACCAAACCATTCCTATGTCAGAGCCAGGGTGATAAGGAAGTGGGTGCAAGACACTATCAGTCATTGGAAGAGAAAGCTCTAGAAGCCGGTGGGAGTGAGCACATTCAAGTCCCGGGGTTTGAGGTTATGGGTCCGAGGCGGTGGTTTCTTCCCTTCCGTCACCGGGAGGTCCATGTTGGGCGGCTTGAAGGCGGCGGGATCCTCGGCCATCCGGGTGGCCTGCATGCGCATCACTTCCATGGGCGAAGGCCTCGGGGCCCCTCGGTAGGGCTGGGTGGCAAAGCCGCCTGCGAAGGAACCAGAGCAAATGATCTCAAAGCAGGAAGCGGCGGAGCAGTGCCTCCCGCTGCTCGCTCTCCTGAGGGAGCCGGCTTACCGGGATCGGACTTCTGGACGGATCTTGGGCCAAAGAAGCTCCATTTATCGGCCGAGCTCCTGTCTTTATCGCCGCTGCCGGAATCCATGGAGCTGAAGTGTGGGCCGGGTAAGGCTGTGGACGAGCCCGAAGAGAACCAGCCTCTGGCAGAGAAGAGTAAACGGCCTGATGGAGCCGCCGCCTCGCCCTCTAGGTCTCGCGCGCAAAGCCTAGGACTGTCGGCTCCCCCTCCGCCCAGGCCACAGCCTCAGCCCCGCCCGCACCCCCGCTCCAGGCACAGGCCGGCTCACCTGGGCTTCTGCTTAGGGGAGGAGTGCGGGGTGCTGCTGGGCGTGGACTGGGCCGAGGCCGGCTGCTTCTCGTCCCTCGTTACGTCTCCGCTCTGCAGCTTTAGTTTCTGTTCGGATGGTAAGAGAGAGACCTCAGCCAAGTGTGGGCATAAACATCCTGGTCCACACCAACCTCAGACAAAGGGGAAATGTTAACGGAGAGTAATTTTGGATTCTAGAACAGATATTCCTTTGATTTTGTCATTCTAAATAGAAACCCACCTTTTAAAAAAAACGACTAATTCTACAACATTTCTCAATGACTAATTCTAAACATTTCTGCACTAAAAACCACATTAGAGCTTTTAAATTTCCCACCTCATCCAGCCAGTAAGTACAAGAACTCAAGCTGCAGGCCTTCTGTGCCTTCGAAGTATGGCCTTGAACTCTTCCCTGCTGCCTCTGCTGCCGTGGACAACCCGCCACGCCGGCTCTCGAAGCCACGGCTGGGCACGCCACTCCGCCAGCTGCCTGCTCCCTCTGGCCTTCCCCTCCGTGCCAGCCCCTGGCTCCTTCCGCGCTGCACACAAACCTCTAACACAGGCTGCGGGGGAGGAAGATCTACTTCCCAGTCCCTCCAGGTCAGGCTCCCTCCCTGCCTCTGTGCTCCGTGTCTGCTGTGCCAATGCCGAGCCCCAGCCACATCCGACCGCACGGCCCTGCCGGAGTCTCCTCCAACTCCCCGGCTACCCGCCAGCGGGCTCCAGCTGGCCCCTGTCCTGCTGCGGCCAAGACGCAGAACATGGCCAAGGTCAACGCTACCGTTCTGCAGGGGAACCGCTCAATGGAACGCAGACACGGGTCCTGGAAAGTCCTCCGGGTCAGACACACACTCTCCGGAAGCATCTGTTTTGTCCGACAGCTTACACTGGCCAACCAACTCCGATCCCCACAGCAGTGGTGGTTATCCCAGCGTGCAAACATCTGGGGTGCTCAGAACGAAATGCGGCCGTCCACAGGGTCTCCTATCCCTCCCGCAGGCCCCGGACTGCACCCCCTTCCTTCTACGTCCTGGGGGCATGATCCTCCTGTGGGCCCTGCAGGAGCCAGGGGCTCGGACAACTCCGGAACACGGGGAAACTCCAAGACCAGGGCATCGGAGACTGGAGCTCAGGTGCTGGGAGGGGTTACATACATGACCTTGGACGCCAGTCTCTTTATTCACAGAACATGGAGAACAGTGTCTACCTCAAAGGATCAACCCGAAGTGGATGCGAGTGCCTCAACTCACAAAGCACTGCTCAGCACAGAGCTGTGTTCCCTGAACTAAGGTCATCTGAAATTACTCATACAACTAGTTGGTCATCATTAACCTTACCAAAAACTAGCCTTCACTCCAATTTTAGAAGTGAAGAGCAAGAACACCCAATTCTGCATTTGCTTTTAATTGTTAAACGCAGAGCGTCATTCTGTCCAGCGAGTGCCGTGCCTGTTGATGTAGCCAATGCTCCTCCCCTCGGCGTCCATCGCCCTGGGGCAGCAAGTGACCGCCTGGCCTTGCTGGCCCTGACCTGCTCAGCACCCCACATGCGAGAGCACAGCGGCTCCTCTCATCCTCCTGAGCTGATGCCCCCACTGCCAAGGCAGATAAGCAGCGCCTTCGGGGTAAGAGCCGGCTCCCCGCGCCCACAGGCGGGCTCACCCAGCTCTCCCGCCTCCCCTCTTCTCTGCATCACTGCCCGCACGCCCCGCCGGGCTAAGCCGCACCGCAAGCTATGAGTGAGGACGGGTCGCTTGTCGAACGAGCTTACGTGGAGTGCTTCTGCCACTCGGAGGTACTTGGTCTCCTCGGTGGTCAGGCCCTTGTGGGGTGTGTAGCCAGCATCTCTCAGCCCTGCCTGCTGCTCAAAGCGCTGAATGCTCTCCTGGGTCTGTTCTGGGACAGAGGAGATGACAGTCATGCCCACCCGCTCTCCCATCAGACGGGGGCAGAGAGCACAGATACCTGCTCTTCTCCCCAGAAGCACGGCCACACGGCCGCCCGAGGTTTCCCCGGACCAGCAGGAATCCGAACCCCACACACAGGCTGGAGAACCAGGGAGCCTTCCCTCACTCCGCGAGAACAGACCTCCAGGGAAGCTTCCACTTCCTGCTGTTGTACACTGGCCCCCTCTGTGTTAGAAAGGCAGCGGGCCCCCCACAACCATCTCCTTGGGGTCACCGCCCGCATGACCCACAAGGCCTTCACCGGAGGGAAACGGGCCACGTTTTGCCTAGATGGCACCGAGGTACCAATTCAATTCAAACCAGAGAACGTGCCTTGAACTAGTCAAAGTCTGCCGAGCCAGAGTTTCTCCTGTGTCAAAGGGCCCCTCTCGGTGACAGACACATGTGATCTGCTCCTACTGTGAGCAATAAGTCAGTTATGGGAGCATTGGAGATCTGCTTCCTGGCGTGTGTTGGCAGTATGGCTCAAATAAAGTCATGAACTTCTCTAATATATATATATATATATATATATATATAAAAATAAGTTATACCGTGGAATGAATGACAGCTGAATTTTTTACTTTCTCTGGACACAACCTTAAGAGAGCCCACGCACAGGAATGTCGCAGCTGTGGACCAGAAGTCCTTTAGGACTTAGTCATTCCCCTTGGAAGGAACTGTTTTATTTCTATCAGAAACAGAGGCTCAGTGTATAAAGCAGTTTCCCTGCCTGACCAGGTAGTCACCTGAACATGTAAAAGGTGGGAAGGATTTACTGCACCACAGCGCACCGGCCCGTCTTTGGAATCAGCTGTGTTAACCGTGTCAGACAGACAGCGGCCAGAGACGGTCCTGGCAGTGCTGGCGGGAGGAAGGTATGGCCACCGCTGCAGGCAGGTGGAGATGTGCCACCTCGGGGACACCAGCGAGTGGCTGTGACAGGCGCTGTGGGGAGCTGGGCTCGGTGCCTGGGCAGGTGCCTCTCCCAGAGAAGCCGCCCCGCAGGGAGGAGCGGCCCGGGCCTCCTCGCCGCCCCGCCAGAACCTTCTCCGCTCGCAAAGCACAAGCAGCGGCTGCCGATCCAGATGGCGTGTTTCCAGGTGAATGAGAGGACGTCCAAGGCAGTATGGACTTTTGGTTCTCGGGCGAGTTCTTGAGTGACTGCGCAGATAAAGGATGCCTCCCGGGTGAGAAACAAGGACTCCAGACCTCACAGCTGAGCCAACAAGAACCTCTGCGCCCTGTCCCTGGCAGAGGCTGCTGCTGCCAACAGGACTGTGTACCTAACGATTAATTGTTAACTTCCCACAGCAGAACCAAAGTTTAAAAAAAAATGCCAGTCCCATTAGGACCACAAAGCACACATCCTTAAAAATGAAGCTGAGGCAACAAACTTGCCTCAAGGTCCAGAAAGGGGAACACCTTTGAACCACTTAAAAAACAAAAAAGAAAGAAATACAAGGCAGGTGGAACCCTCCTCCACCTGCCAGCCAGACTCCCCACTTCGTTTAGGAGACAGTCCTGACAAGAGCAGCAGGAATACACCTACACCAACGGGTGCCTAGCATTTGGCAAATCTTCACCTCAGTGGAGCTTCCCTGGTGAGCTGGCACCTGTCGGGCACAACCAGGACAGGCCGAGGCCAGTGTGTCTGCAGAACCCGCACGCTCTTCCTCTTCCCACCCTCTTCCACGCTACCCTGAGGGTGCAGAGCGCTTACTTGTGATCAGAGAGTTCATGATGACGCGGGTGGCTTTAGCCTTCACCACAGGGACCTTGTCCACACTGTCAGTGGCCGAGGGCAGGGCCATGGCAGGGGAGGAGACACTGGCCTCTCCTTCCTCCACCTGTGCGAGAGAGGCAAGGAGGCACTGAGCAGAGCAGGCGGTCACACCTCTTTGTCTCCCTTTTGGGGAAGAAGTCACTGAAGCACCTTGAGTCTGATAGGTTAAGAAATCTGTTTTGTCTCCTCCCTAATAGATAAATATCACCCATAGTGGCAAGAGATAAAGACACTTCCCAGCCCATGTCTGTCCAAGAGGCTAATGGGACCCACTGCTGCTCACTGACCAGGACCAGGCCCTGCGCGGGCTCTGGCTTCACTCTTGGCTGCATCCTCAGTGCTGTCAGACCTCAGAGCACCAGGATTCCGAGTGGCCTGGTAAACAGCTTGCTGGACCCACCCGCATAGGCCTGGGGTGGGCCTCAAGAACTCATGTTTCTAACCAATTCCCAAGTGACGTGGATGCTGCTGGTTCCCGAGACCACGACATCAGGATTGTGGCTCTCACAGTTCAAGGAATGGTCTTTAAAAACAAAAAAACAGGCCAGTGTGGTTCAGTGATTGAGCATCAACCTATGAAATCAGGTCATAGGTTCGATTCCTGGTCAGAGCATATCCCCAGGTTGCAGGCTCGATCCCCAATAGCGGATGTGCAGGAGGCAGCCGATCAATGATTCTCCCTTATCACTGATATTTCTCTCTCTCTCCCCCTCCCCCTTCCTTGCTGAAATAAATAATATTTTTTAAAATAAACAAAACTCTATGTAGCTCCTAATCTTTAACGTGAGAGCCAAGAGCTCACCACCTTCTGTCCTCCAACCCGATGCCATGCTCAGGACGAGCAGGGAGGAGGAATCTGGGTTCCTGCTTTGTTCTCCGCTTCCCTAGAGGAACTAAGAAAGCAGAAAGGAGGGGAGAAGCGTGGAAAGCTCTGTCCTGGTTACAAACGGGGACTGTGATTTTCAGCTGTGGCCTCACTGGAGCAGAGCGGTCCTCTGCTTCCTCACGGGGGAGATGCGGACAGTGAGGGAGAAAGAATGCGTGTGCTGAGTCCAGCCGAGCTTCCCTGCAGGAGCAGCTGTCCGGGCTGCAGCTGTCCCAGCGGGGGCACCACAGCAAGCGGGAGGCCCCTCCTCTGCCGGGGCACGCAGCAGCCGTTCCAAATGAACGGGCGTGCCACCTTGGAAGCACTGGCAGAAGCCCTGGAGCCATTGCTCTGGCACTCAGGCAGGCTGCCAGAGTCCTTCGCACCAGGACTGCCAGTCCTTTCTGCACATTCGTTTACTCCTAGCAACTAACTGGGTCAGACATGGGTACATAGCGGACAGGGCACTTCCCAGAGCTGCAGGGAGCCTTGGAGAAAGGAGCTCCCTGTGCTGAGTTAAGGGAAGGGTGAGGAGGCCCATCAGAAAGGCATCCAATTCAGCTACCGAGTCAGTCAGGCTGGGGGCAGGCGCCAGTGTCCCCTGCACACCTACTGTGTCAGACCTTTCACTCTCTTGTTTAACCCCACCTCACCTCCGTGGCAAAAGCATTCCTCTCTCTCAAGTGGAGACACTCACTCAGGCGGGAGGCTCTGTGCCCAAGGTCATTGCTAATATATGGAACATTACGGGGCGATTGGGGCTGGCAGCTGCAGTTTTCACCCACTGATGGCCGAGCGATCGGGGCTGCACTGGGTGCCAGCAGCAGGTCCAAGCGACTGGTGGGACCTGGGAGCGCGTGGGAGTGAAGAATTTTCAGTAACCACCAGAAGCTCGCCCTGCCTTGGTCTGGTGCCTGCTCCACCATCCATGCCCCCTGGTGGTCAGCGCATGTCATAGCAGTTGTTCCACTTTTCCATCTATTTGCATTTTAGCCTTTTATCATATAGGAGGATGCTCACTATGTACTTCCTGTCAGGCCCTGAGCCGTCAGCAGCTCAAAGTTCAGTAAAGGTAGCTGCAGACTAAATGGCCTCATCTGAACTTGGCAGGCCAGGCCCGAGCCAGGAGTGACGGCGGCAGTCCCCACGGCAGGAAGCGCAGGCTTCAGTAACACGCCTGCCACGGAGGGGCTGAGAGAGCAGCCGGTGGGCCGAGGCGTGTAGTGTTGGGAGTGGGAGCAAGGCCTGAGGAAGAGCGTGACAAAAACAAGGATAGCACGAGACCAGGAAAGAGCCAGCTGTTCCCACCCCCATCACTCCGGGACATTTTCTGGCATCTGCTCATGCCAGGGCCTCTGCGTGAAACTCTGGCACCGCTCCTGCCCTGCAGAGCTAACGGGAGGTGGTGAGAACGGAGGGCGTGTGACAGGGCCTGTGGGACAGTGGCGAGGTGACAGTCGGATCAGGAGGAAAGTCCTTGCAGAGATGTCTGAGTTAAGACTTAAAGGACACCACTTGTCGGGCAGGGGGAGGAGGGGGAAGAGGGAGAACAGGATGGGATGGAAACGTTCCAGGCAATGAGTAGTGGAAGCAGAGACTTAGGCGTCAGATACCCTGGGAAGTGCAAGAAACCTTGGCGACTTGCGTGGTCAGATCACGGGGTAGGGGCCCACAGGAGCGGGTCATGCAGAGCCAGACTGTGGAGCTGCCATTTTTAATGCTGTGGCAAATGAGATGATCTGGACAGAGGAGTCGCAGGTAGGAGAAGACATGGCCTTTCTAGTTTGAATTAAAAAGAAAAAAAGGCCCACCGACTCCAGCTGAGGCACAGAGAACACATACAGGGACTGGAGGCGGCCAGACCGTGTGGGTGCCGGAGCCTCGGAGCTGACGGAGCTGGAGGCCGGGCTGCCAGGAGCAGGCGGCAGGGTCAGGTACCTTGGCGAGGTGCTGGTACTTGCGCTCTGGAATCACTGGCTTCCAGGGGATGCTGCCCATGTCCGACGGAGGAGGAGTCATGGGCGTAGGGTCCTCCAGGGCATCATCATAGCTGAATGCCCGGCGGCTCATCCCGATGGGCAGGGACATCTTGCCTAGAGGCCCATTAGGCTCAAGAGCTAAGAACAGAGACACCTGTCAGCGGGTTCAGCAACGGAGCATGCTCACAGCTTAAACCGCTCTGTAGGCAGGACCCGAAACACTCACTCAGGGACACAGCAAGAAAAGCGAATCGTTCGGGAAAGGCATCTGTAGTGCTAACCCTGCCTGTGTGCCCGGCACCTGGACCCTCCTCCGGACCCACTCAGCAGCCCCAATCCCTTACTTAATTTAAACGACCTGAGCAAGGTCACACACTGCCAGGCGCAGGAAGTCATCCAAGTCCAATCCCGTCCGATTTCAAAGCTTGTGTCCTCAGGCCACGGAGCCTGCCCCACAGCACCCCCAACGCTCTCGCTCGACACCGAGGCCATGCCGTTCCGATTCTGGTTTTGCAGACGGAAAGGCCCACAGGTAGAGTGATTTGCTCCAATCCACACAGCAGGCAGCCAGCTGGGGCTCGATTCAAACCCTCTGCCTCCCGGCCTCACACAGAAAACAGCCCGGTTACAGGAAATGCTTCCAACACGCGGCCGGCGCCCCACTCGCTCCGAGTGCTCTGCGTGGTCTAGGCAGCAGCGCCGACGGCAGCACAGAAACTGCTGACAACCGCCCTCCGCTCACCCACCGCTGCCAGCTGCTCCTGCCCTTCACCTGACCTGCCTGGCAGGAGGCCCCGCTGTGACACAGCACCGCCTCCCAGCTCTGCCAGGCCCGGGAGCAAAGGTCACTGTTTCATACAGAACTAATGTCCACAAGCTGCCTTCAGCGTGATATCTTCCTGTGGCTAAAACTATAGTCACTCTCCAAAACATCAGCCTGTGTGGCACTAAGTCCAAACGAGCAGACACATTTAACAGCAAGGGGACCAAGCAGCTACCATTATTATTGCTAATAACAAATAATAATTACCAATAAATCCCTAAAAACAGAAAGAGGATTAGTGGTTGCCAAGGACTGGAGGAGTTGGAGAAAGGGGGGAGGAATGGGTTTGAGGTGAAGATGTTCTGAAATTAGTGGCCACAGTTACACAAAAAACTAAATTATTCATTTTATTTTCTTATTAATTTTTATATTTTCTTTATTAAGGTATCACATATTTGTCCTCAACCCCCATTCCAATCCCCCACCTTCCCCACTCATGCCCCCTAAATTATTCATTTTAAATGGGTGAATTTGATGGTATGTTAATTACCTCAATAAAAATAAGCCAATAGTATTACCAAATGCCCTTCCTTAACAAGTACTTACTCCCTCATCTTACCATATTCTCATCAAACAGAAATTCTTCCCATTTTCCAGCTCAGGAAACTGAGGCACAGATCCTAAGTGACACCCAGCTAGCAGTGTGGGTGGGGCCAGAACACAGACCTCAGCCAGTGTTCACTCTACATGCAATACTCCATGCTCCCCACACGCCAAAGCGTTCACATGATGAGTGCAGCACGATGGTCTGGGATGGTCACAGCAGAACTTACGCTGATCACGAGAGCAATGAAAGACAAACTGAAACGCAAGCTGATGGCGTGGAAACTAGAGCGAGGGATCCAGACTGGGAGACGGGAAAGAGTCCTTTTGCTCCTCTTAATTTGGGAGCGATTTCAAAAACATCGTAAGACTCCTCCCAGCAGCCGTCCCAATAGCCTTCCTAAAAATAATGATAAAGTCAGCTAATACTAAGAAAATTCCTAGAGACCCCACATTTTCTGGGCACTAAATGCGTATTCAACACTAACTTTGACACATCTTCACGTATTTCATTTTTTAAATTTCACCACAGCCCTGAGAGATAGGCAGTATCACCTATACTTCACCGACTACCTAAAATGGACTGATTCAAATTTTGATTTAAAAATCACTGCCCCTCCCACTAACATAGTCCAAGGTGGGACCGATGACTTCGGTAACCCAGAAATGATCGCCCTATGGAGATCCACGACTCATGAAAGAACTGTTGTCTTTCCAGTTAGATTTTGGATTCGTTACCTTATTAACTGGGTAGTTAATTGGTTAACTACCCAGCCAGGTAGTTAATTGGTTAATAAGATAATGTTACTTATCTACCAGGCTGGGTAGTTAATAAGATAATATTTAAGTGATGCCAATCTATTAAATCTAAATACTCTACTGGCGACCCAGAGTAACCATCAATATGTGGTTCCGAAAAAGTGGTTTCTGGCTGAGGACAAAACATGACTTCACCAAAAAGAACTGACTTTACCAAAAAGAATTCGGTTTACCAGGCACTTCTGATGCTCTCGAAGCCATTGAAAGACTGGATCCGGGTACTTTTTCTAGACAGCTTTCAGAGCTGAGTCCCTGCCACCTAATGAAAATAACAAAAAGCATTTTCTTACAGTGAACACCAAAGCATAGCTCAGCGCTGTTCTCTTGACAGGCACACTAGGCACAGTTTTACGGCTTGTTTACAACGCTGGGACACACAGAAATGAGCCAATGGGAGAGCAGCATGCCGAGGCAAAAATCAATAAATAACTAACGTCAAAGATCTCACCACGCCTGTGGCTGATCCTTAACACCTAAGACACGACAGAAACACGACGCCCGGTGAAAAGGTCACCTTACCGCAGTGCAGTGACGTTCAGGCGGCCGGACAGACACTAACGAGGAACATCGTCCAGCTGCTGCGCGTTAGCTAAGTCGCTTGGGCAGGGTCCGTCCATCCCCGAGAGCCTAAGAACAGCAAGCACAGAGCATGGGGCCAGCCGTCAGCCTAATATTTACATGGGTTTGTACACAATTATCTCATGTTTGAACCCTTGCAGGAGTCCCGCAAAGCGGACGTTGTTTATCCCCAATTTAAAGGAGAAGAAAACGAACCATCAGGAGGGAAGTGATGTCCTGGGCCGCAGATGAGTGGCCCATGGGCAGGACAGGCAGTTTCACCCCCAGTTTACCGGGGAGTCCAAACGAAGCCCCGAGAAAGCAGAGTTACTTGCTTTTCAGCTGGCTGCACGCCCCCTCTATTCCCACGGAGCTCAGAGGGCAGACTAAGTCAGTTCTTCGTTAAAGAGCATCGCAGAGCCGGGACCGGTTTGGCTCAATGGATAGAGCATTGGCTTGGGGACTGAAGGGTCCCGGTTCGATTCCGGTCAAGGGCATGTACTTTGGTTGCGGGCATATCTCCAGTAGGGGGTGTGCAAGAGGCAGCTGATCGATGACTCTCTCTCATCGATGTTTCTAACTCTCTATCCCTCTCTCTTCCTCTCTGTACAAAATCAATAAAATATATTTAAAAAAAAAAAAAAAAAAAAAGGAGCATCGCAGAGCCGACCTGCCGCCATCCCCCAGCGTTCCCACCAGATACACCCCTTCCGCTCCGCGTCCCCCACCCCACCCACCCCACCCCGCCCCGCAGGGCGCCGGCCTCCCCGCCCTGGGGCCCAGGACGGCGTCTCCGGGCTGTGATCGCCGGGCCTGACTCACCCCATCCCCCAGCGAGCAGGGGGGAGCAGGGGGCGGCGGAGGGAGGGGGGGCCAGGCCCGGCGGCCGCCGCGGGGCGGTGGAGCCCTCAGAGGCCGGCACCGGCGGGGCGGGGGGTGGGTCCCGGGCCGGTGCGGCCGGGTGGAGCGGAGGCGAGGCCCCGCGCAGAACCGCGTCGGAGAGAAGCCCAGTCCGGAGCCCAGGGCCTGGGGAGGCGGAGGGAAGGACTCGGACCCGGGGCCTCCGGGGAGAGGCCGCGCCCCCCGGCCCGGCGGAGGCTGGAGCCCCGGGAGGGCCCGGCCGGCCCACCTCCATACCTGGGTGCCGCCCGGAGCTGCCGACAGCCCGCGCCCCGGCACTAAACCGGCTCCGAGGACCCTCGTCTCTCCAGAGGTGGTGCTGCAGCCGGGATACAAGCCATGGCGCGGGCGCGGGGGGTCAACCGCGGCCTGAAAGCCTCGGGAACCGACCCGGGAGCCGAAGATGCCGGCAGAGCCGCCGCCTTCGTGATAAAGCCTCTCAAGCCACGCGAGACTTGGACCGGAAGACGCTCGGGGCATGCTGGGAGTTGTAGTCTACGATCGGAAAGGCACCGGGATCCCAGCTGCTCTTCTGAGAAATGAAATGAGCAGGGGACCCTCTCCGAGCAAGAGCTAGATTAGTCAGGGTTAAAACTAAAAAAAGGGGGGCCAACCCCATCCGTCTCCCCTAGATAAGGTGGCCCGAATGTCATTTCCCTTTTAAAACACTAACGAAAGTTATGCCCTCCCAAATGTCACAACTGGAAGGAAGAAATTTGTTTTCCTTGTAGGGTTTACAAACATGATAAAGCAACGTGTTTCTACCCCACATTCCAAGCCTGCCATTGAGGCTCATCTCTGCAGGGTTGTGCTTGGCTGGGGAGTAGGTCTCGTATTTAGATTTCAGCATTCATATACAGATATGCATCACCAGTGATCACAGACAATGGTGCGGTGAAGGCCCGGGGTGGGGAAGGAGCTGGGAGGAAAAGAGTAAAAGGGGAGGGCAGAGATGTGGAATTGGGGGACATCTGTAATACTGACAACAATAAAATAAAATAAAAATTAAATAAAAAGATTTCAGCATTTGACACTTGCCAGGTCTACTGGGCAGGACTGAGAGGCTTTCACTCAGGCAACTTTAAACCTGAGTGTCATTCCCAGGCCACCTCACCTGACTGCATCACACAGTAAAGTCTTTTCTACAGTTTAAAAGTAGCCCTAGCTGGTTTGGCTCAGTGGATAGAGCATCCACCTGCAGATTGAAGGGTCCCAAGTTCGATTCCAGCCAAGGGCGCATGCCCAGCTTTCGGGCTCGATCCCCAGTAGGAGATATACAGGAGGCAGCCGATCAATGATTCTCATCATTGATGTTTCTATCTCTCTCCCTTCCTCTCTGAAATCAATAAAGAAATATATTAAATAAATAAATAAATAAATAAATAAATAAATAAATAAATTGCCAAAACCGGTTTGGCTCAGTGGTAGAGCGTAGGCCTGTGGACTGAAAGGTCCCGGATTCGATTCCGGTCAAGGGCATGTACCTTGGTTGCGGGCACATCCCCGGTAGGGGGCGTGCAGGAGGCAGCTGGTCGATGTTTCTCTCATCAATGTTTCTATCTCTCTATCTCTTTCCCTTCCTCTCTTAAAAAATCAATAAAATATATTTTAAAAATAAATAAATAAATAAACAAACAAACAAATAATAAATAAAATTTAAAAGTAGCTTGTGAATAAATAAATTGCATCCTTGTGTGTGTGGGTGTTAAAAGTGTTACTTTGTTAATTTGGAACTTTTAAAATAGTATATGCCATCATTTTTAAAAAATATATTTTATTGGTTTTTTCCAGAGAGGAAGAGAGAGGGACAGAGAGTCAGAAACATCGATGAGAGAGAATCATCAATCAGCTGCCTCCTACACCCCTCACTGGGGATATGCCTGTCACCAAGGTACATGCCCTTGACAGGAATTGAACCTGGGACCCTTCAGTCCACAGGCTGATGCTTGATCCACTGAGCCACACCGGTCCTGGCAATATGCCATCATTTTTAAGCCTCCGTGGGAGCAAAGCTGACCCCTTGCCCCCCTCCATTAGCAGAACAGAGTGCACACCACGCCCCAGGCAGAAGGGGAGGAAACAGCACTTCTGTGAACCAAAGGCAGGCTCATCCTGTTTCATTCTCATCCCCAAATCAAAGACAGCTGAAGCCTTTCCTGGAAGTTGATGACTCTCTGGCTTAAAACAACTTTATCTCTGATTTTCTCAGCACTGATGTCTGAACTATGGCATGATCAAAGCAGGTAGTAGCCATGTGAGAAAATTGCTGTTTTCCACAAAGAACACACTAACTATAAACTTTTTAAAAATATATATTTTATTGTCCACAGAGAGGAAGGGAGGGAGATAGAGAGTCAAAAACATCAATCAGCTGCCTTCTGCACACCTCCTACTTGGGATGTGCCCGCAACCAAGGTACATGCCCTTGACCGGAATCGAACCAGGGACCCTTCAGTCCGTAGGCTGACGCTCTGTCCACTAAGCCAAACCAATGGCTAACTATAAACTTTTAACCATCACAGTTCTATGGGGTTCTCCCCTTTAAATGGGATTATATTTTTTTAATTGGGGAGCTTATTCATCTAAACCCTGGACTCCCTTCAAAGTTTCCGTGCAAGTAAACCAGTTTTATTTTTTAAATATTTTTTATTGATTTCGGAGAGGAAGGGAGAGGGAGAGAGAAATATCAATGATGAGAATCATTTATTGGCTGCCTCTTGCCCACCCCCCTACTGGGGATCAAGCCCACAACATGAGGTGCTGCACGCCCCCTACTGGGAATCGGACCCCGACCTCCCCTAGTTCAGTGGTCGGCAAACTCATTAGTCCGCAGAGCCAAATATCAACAGTACAAGGATTGACATTTCTTTGGAGAGCCACATTTTTTTAAACTTAAACTATCTAGGTAGGTATATTGTTATTAACTGAATTAGGGTACTCCTTCAATCACACGTGGTGTTTTGTGGAAGAGCCACACTCAAGGGGCCAAAGAGCCGCATGTGCCAACCACGGCCCTAGCCCCTAAGTTGATGCTCTACCACTGAGCCCAGCTGGGCTGGGTTAGCTTTCTAAGTGTCTGGTTGCAGAGTTAGGGAGGGTTCAGTCTGTCGTGACTGAATCCACCGAACCCAGGAAGGGTGCCTTCCGAGCTGCTTAACGTCAGGACGTCGTTCTGGGCTCCTGCGGTGGCTCCCTTATGGCACTAGACGTTCCCTTCCACCCTCTTCTGTGCTTTTCCTTGACTCTGGTTTTAGTTCTTTATTATTATTATTATTTTTAATATATTTTATTGATTTTTTTACAGAGAGGAAGGGAAAGGGATAGTTAGAAACATCATTGAGAGAGAAGCATTGATTGGCTGCCTCCTGCACACCCCCCACTGGGGATGTGCCCGCAACCAAGGTACATGCCCTTGACCAGAACCTGTTAGGGCTCTAAATTAGTTTTGAGCCTGAATTGTCTTTGTGTACTTCCTTGGTCATTTCATACTTCAGTAAACAAGGAGCCTCAAAAACTGACCAGGGCCCTGGCCGATTTGGTTCCGTGGTTGATTCTGGCCAGGAGCACATGCCCAGCTTGCAGGCTTAATCCCTAGTAGGGGGCGTGCAGGAAGCAGCCAATCAACGATTTTCTCTCATCATTGCTGTTTCTAACTCTCCCTCTTCCTTCCTCTCTGAAATCAATAAAGAAATATATATATATATATTTTTTAGCCGAAACCGGTTTAGCTCAGTGGATAGAGCATCGGCCTGCGGACTGAGAGGTCCCAGGTTCAATTCCGGTCAAGGTCATGTACCTTGGTTGAGGGCACATCCCCAGTAGGGTGTGTGCAGGAGGCAGCTGGTCGATGTTCCTCTCTCATCGATTTTTCTAACTCTCTATCCCTCCCTTCTTTTCTGCAAAAAATCAATGAAATAGGGGGGTGGGGGAAAAAAATCAATGAAATATATTTAAAAAAAAAAAAAAAAAGAAATATATTTTTTAAAAAATCGACCAGGATCTCTCTGGCATTCCACTTCATGATGGGAAGGGCCACCTACCTTCCTGTACACCTCTCCCCTCTCTGGCCAGGCCCAGAGCTGGCACACCCATCGGCAGACAGGAACCGGGTCACTAGGAAGGTAGCAAGCGTGGGCATTGGCATTGACCTGGAAGCCCGCCCCCTGTCATCAGCGATGAGCATTCCACCTGGCAGCGCTCAGGGACTGTCCATCTCCATGGCCCAATTGGCAGCTGAAGGAACTAATACTTCCAAGGGGACCTTGGCAAAGGTATCTCCGCCAGGGAGCAGCAGAGGTGAAATTCAAGCCCAAGACTACGTATCTACCCGACAGTTTGGCTGCTGGCTGTCCTTGGCCTCAGCCCCTCCACTTTTTTTTTCTTTTTTTTTAAACATCATTGATGGGCTGCTTTCCTGGCAACTACTTGGTATACTGGACAAAGCTCAACCAACTGAGCCACACCAGCCAGGGCACTCCTCCACTTTTTTTTTTTTTCCCCCTCCACTTTTTAAAATCCCCGGGGCCGTGGTCAGCAAACTGCGGCTCTCGAGCCAAAGGCGGCTCTTTGGCCCCTTGAGTGTGGCTCTTCCACAAAATACCACAGCCTGGGAGAGTCTGTTTTGAAGAAGTGGCGTTAGAAGATTAAGTTTAAAAATTTTGGCTCTCAAAAGAAATTTCAATCGCTGTCCTGTTGACATTTGGCTCTGTTGGCTGATGACTTTGCCGACCACTTCCCTGGGGCAGCAGGTAGCTTTCCAAGGAAGAAGAAAACTGGAAGTAACGTCTCCCTCTAGCGGTGAGGGGGGAGAAAGACTTCATTGCAGAGATTAAGGATGCTGGACCAGAGACTGGATTGTCATATGGTCCTTGCAAACCAACTTACCCTGGCCAGATAGGTCCGTTGGTTAGAGCCGGCACCCAATATGCAAAGTTTCAGGTTTGATCCCCCGACAGGGCACATACAGGAACCAGCCAATGAATGCATACATAAGTGGAACAACAAATCTTCCTCATGTTCTCTCTCTCTCTCTCAAATCAATAAAATAAAAAATTTGTCTAAAAAATAAAGTAAGCCCTCGCCAGTGTGGCTCAGTTGGTTGAGTGTCATCCCATGCACCAAAAGGTTTGGTTCCTGGTCAGGGCATTCACATACCCAGGTTGTGGGTTTTTCCCCCATAGGGAAGCATATAGAAGGCAGCTGATAGACGTTTCTCTCTCACATTGACGTTTCTCTCTCTTTCCCTTCCTTCCTCTCTAAAAATCAATAAAATCATATATTTTTTTTAAAAAGGTAAAAAAAAAAAAAAAAAGAACAAAGAAACCAACTTAATATTACAGATGGTGCAATTAAGGAGCAGAGAACAGGGAATTGGACCAATGTCACACAGCTAGTCTGGGGCAGTTGGTTGACAGAAATTGTGTTCTTGTGTCTTACATTTGTCAGGCTCTCTGCTGGGTGCCTGGGGTTAATTGTGTCCTACTGTAGATGGAAGGGGCCACAGGCTGACCTGACCAGCTCAGGGGAGGCCTGCATAGTGGTCTTGCAAACTCAGAGACAAGAAAGAATAGTCTGAAATTAAACTTTAACTAAACGCAGTTGTGGTGGGTAGTCACCTCCTAGGCCAGTATCTTCCCTGACAAAGTCACCTTTACCTGAACTGAGCCAATCTGTCTTTTTGCATCTGTGATATCATGCCCTTGAAAAGTCTGGGTAACTTCTAACTTCCCTTTTCCTGGAGCCCCTGGGGCACAACCAAATGTGCTGGGCGCCCGGACAGAGACGACAGATTCCTTCATTGTATGTTAACTGTCCATGCACCCACCTAAGTCTGTGTCCATCATTTTACTTTTTGTCCAATCCCAGGGGTCCCCTCCCATGCCCCCCTCCACCCGCTTTGCTTTATCCCACCTCCTTAATCCGTCACCAATGAGTTTCCTGGAACCCACCTATGTCCCTCCTCATGCTGACCTGAGCATGTCAGGTCAGCAAGTGGCCCCTTTTGTCCACATTTCTATTTCCCCCTCTCTTTCTGAAATAAAAATATTAAAAATAAAAAAATAAAAGATGGCATTTGAAAACAACCTGGGTCATTTTTCTCCCTTGGAAATAAGTTCCCAGTGAGCACCTCGGCACTCCTGAAAAAGCCAGTCCATCACCGATCAGACGGGTCCTGGAGCCCTTTTCTCCCTGGGGTCTTGAGGGGAACAGGTGGCTTGGGCTTACAGCACTAGGGTGCGCCCCGGCCTTCCCTCCTGGGGGCCCTGTGTTTTTTTTGTGTGTTTTTTTTAATATATTTTATTGATTTTGTACAGAGAGGAAGGGAGAGAGATAGAGAGTCAGAAACATCGATGAGAGAGAGTCATTGATCAGCTGCCTCTTGCACACCCCCTACTGGGGATGTGCCCGCAACCAAGGTACATGCCCTTGACCAGAATCGAACCCGGGACCCTTCAGACTCCAAGCCGACGCTCTATCCACTGAGCCAAACCGGTCTCGGCTGGGGGCCTGTTTTAAGGGGTAACCGGAGCAGCGGGAGCTAAGCTCTGGGCGCACGGGAGGAGCGCGGTGGATGCTGATGTCCGCGTCCCCGCTCCTCCCAGCACAGCCTCCGCTCCGTCCCGCACGCGGCGGAGGGGGCGGAAGTCCCCGCGCCCCGGCCCGCGTCGCCTCCCAAGTCGCGCGTCCTGTCGCGACAGCAGAGGTGCATTGTGGGGCTTGTGGTGTGCGGCCCGCGGGTGGGTGGGCGCGGCGCGGCGGGGCCATCTTCGGCGCAGCGGCCTGAGCAGCGCCCGCGCCCCGCTCGGCCGATGGCGCCGCGGCCGCTGAGCCCCCTGGCGCTGGCGCTGGGCGGCGCGGCGGCCCTGCTGGGCTCGGCGCTCTTCCTGCTCTGGAGGGCCTACCGGGGGCGGCGCGGGGGCGGCGAGGCCTGGTGGGGCGCGGGGCGCGCCGGCCTCCCCGAGTGGGACGAGTGGGAGGTGAGTGCGGGGCCGCCGCCCGCAGGCCCCGGCGGGCACCGGGCCGCGCAGACCTGTGGGCCGGGGTTTGGGGGGCCCCTGGGCTTTGGGGGGCCCTGGACTTGGGGGGGCCCCGGGCTTGGGGGGGCCCCGCCGCGTGCAGCCCGCGCCGCTCGGCGCCTGCGCAGAGCGCGCGGCCCGGGGATGTCGGGAGGCGCTGCGGGTCCCATCGACCTGGGCCGGGGCTAGCGGGCTTGGCCCGAGGCCACCAGGGGCCGGGGGGAGGGGGTGGGGGTTCGGGATTCCGAGGGTCATGCTCATCCCGGTGCCCCAGGCCGGGCCTGCCCGCCCCTGCGGGTGGGAGCGGGATGGGCGCCGTGGTGCCGGCGGTCTGCCCCCGGGACGGGACAGCCAAGGCCGGAGGGTGAGTCTGCAGCCTGACTGCCCGCAGCCTGAGGATGAGGAGGACGAGGAGGACGAGGAGGACGAGGAGCCGGCGCTGGAGGAGCTGGAGGAGCTGGAGGAGCTGGAGCAGCGCGAGGTGCTGGTGCTGGGGCTGGACGGCGCCGGGAAGAGCACGTTCCTGCGGGTGCTGTCCGGGAAGAGGCCGCTGCAAGGCCATGTCCCCACTTGGGGCTTCAACTCCGTGCGGCTGCCCACCAGGAACTTCCAGGTGGACCTGCTAGAGAGTGAGCAGACCCCCCCTCCCACCACCACACACACACACACACACACACACACACACACACACACACACACACCTCCCCAGCACCTGATGGCACCCAGGCCGGGCCCTCTGCCTCGGGGTGGCTCCAAATGCACACCTAAGCAGATCACACCCCTGTAGGAAAGTCTTCCCGCGGGCCCCGGGCATAGGGTGCAAAAGTGGCCGCCTGACGTGGGGGCCCTTCATGAACAGGCAGCCCCAGCTTGGTCCTCCTGCCTGCGCCTCACGCCAGCCGCAGCCCATTGCCTGACACGGGTGCTAACGGCTAGCTCCCTGTGTGCCAGTCATCGGGCAGGCACGTGGGCGGGGATGCTGCCCGGGAAAGGCGTCCTTAGGTGATCTTATCCTCGTGCGAGCACCATGGAGTTCACTTAGACACCTAGGCCCGTGGTCGGCAAACCGTGGCTCGTGAGCCACATGCGGCTCTTTGGCCCCTTGAGTGTGGCTCTTCCGCAAAACACCACGGCCTGGGCGAGCCTATGTTGAAGAAGTGGCGTTAGAAGATGTTTAAGTTTAAAAAATGTGGCTCTCCAAAGAAATGCCCATCGTTGTGCTGTGGATATTTGGCTCTGTGGACTGATGAGTTTGCCGGCTAGGTGGTACAGACTGCTGCACAAGCCTGGACAGCATGGGACTGTGCCGAGCACTGTAGGCAGTTGTAATGTGTTGTGCTTCGATGTCACCAGGCGATGGGAATTGTCCAGCCCCTTTCGAATCTGATGGGACCACTGCCATACACGTGGTTCCATATTGATCGGAATATGTGGTGCAGGACTACACTTAATAAAATCCTCCCGGCAAGGCCGTGCAGCTGGAAACAGCCAGTACTCTCATTGGGACATGGGGAAACTGAGGCCCAGCACTGTGGCTCTCGTTGCTAAGCACCATGCCCCACGGCTTGTTTCTGAAGGGTACTTGATGTTTTCTTTCTCGCTTCTGTCCTTGGCAAGCACCGTTCGCTCCGGCTGGAAAGCCATCTTCCCTCAAGGCTTACATCAAACATGATGTCCTGGGAAGCCTCCTCTGAGGCCCTTGCAGGTTGGGGGCTCTCCCTCGGGGCACCCCTGCTGCTGCAGTATTCACCCCTGAGACACAGACAGGCCTGACTAGGCTCTGGCCCAGGTCCGGCCCCACGCAGGTGCCGGGAGAGCTTGCTGGGTGCTCAGAGAGGGTCTGAGCTGCCCCTGCCTCGGTGTTAGGCTGTTTGGGGTCTTGGGAGAGCAGTTCAGAGAGGGCAGCAGCCCTTAGCCACCTGTGCTCGGCCGCAGACTTGATGGAGGGGCAGGTAGGCTCTGTCAGCCACAGGACTCAGACCATAAAGCCCGGGGGGGTTTGGTTAAGTGCTAGGTAGCGGCTCAGACTGAGGGCCTGGCTGGGCCCAGTTCCTCTGATCCCAGGCACTTGCCTATTGGTCTGATCTGGCTACATCTTTCCTCCCTGATTGCAGCAAACATTGATATTCCCCTGGAATTGGGTCTTTTCGACAAGCCGTCCCCATCCCCCCCTTTTGTGCCAGGAGCACAGAAAAATCGAGTGGGGTTCTGCCCTTGTCAGGCAGAGAGAGTGCCCGAGCTGTCCTCCACCCTGGGAGGAGGGTTCGGTGTCTTCCTGTTACCCAAGGTCTGGCCGGTGACTGCGGCCTCCACAGGGCCTTTCAGCCTGGACTCAGCCGCAGGTCTCCATTGGCGACCTGGGCCTCTCGCCCCCCCCCCAGAACATGCCCTTTGCGTGGTCTCCTACGACGCCAGGCCTGGAACCCCGCTGAGGAGGGGTCTTTGATTTTCCCTCCCCCCACCGCTTATAGCCATTGAATTAGCTTAGTTCTGTCCGCTTTATCCTTGTCTGCCCGGATTCTGGTCTGTCCACTCCTCCCTCCTCCGCCACCGCCTGCCTATCCAGCCCCGAGTCCTCTCAGTACAGCAGCCTCCTCGCTGGTCTTCCCGCTCTCCGCCTGTGCCCAGGTTAGCCAGTGGTGTCTTTAGATCGGGTCACTCTGAAAACCCATCAGGGCCCCACAGCCCCCCTCTGGCCTTCCAGGCTGTGAGGTTCAGCCCCGGCCAGGCTTGCTGTCCTGGCTTCCCTCTCCCTCCGCTGGTGCCGCAGGCACTGGCCACCTTCTCCCGTGTGTGCTTCCCTCTGCCTGGAATATTCTCTCTGCCTCTTCATGGCTACTTCCTTCTCATCAGCCCAGACTCAGCTCCATGCCACCTCTGTGGGGAGACTTTCCCAGACCTGCAATCCAGAGGCACCCCACAGCCACATTCACTTGTCCCGTTCTATTACCTCCCTTTCTGGAATGCGCTGGCGTTACTGCTGTCTGTCCCGAGTGCAGGGGGGCCCATGAGAGCAGGCCCCTGCTGCCTCCCCAGCTCCCCGATCAGTGCTGGGCACCTGGTGAGCACTCAGTCAGTACTTGTTGAGCGCCTGCTGTGTGCCAGGCATTGTGCTGAGGGCTTTGGGGGTCTGAGCTGAAACAGAGAAACAGCTCTAACTTTCAGAGCTTAGAATCCACAAGGGTCAGAATTACAAGCAGAAACACCAGGCTGCAGGGGGACCAGTGGGGACTGTGCGGAGGGACAGAAGGAAAAGGAAGGCAGCCCACGTTGGGGGCCTATATGGGTGGCCACGTGGTAGGACTGACTATGGCATTTCTGGGGGAAGAAAGCGGGGTGACCAGATTGAACAAAAGAACTGAGTGGAGAAAGGCTGTGCACAAGCAGGGCAGGGAGTCCCGGCTTCCGACCACAGCTGCTTACCCAGGAGGAAGCCAGGAATTGGCAGGAGGCGAGGCAGCCAGGAGAAACCAGGAGAGAGTACCGTTTATTGAGCACCTACTACCCCCCAGCCCTCAGCACAGAGCAGTGCATGTCTGTGTGTGTGTGTGTGTGTGTGTGTGTGTGTGTGTGCGCCTTTGGGGTTGCCGTGAGGTAAGGTTAGCAGGGAGGAGGCTAATGTTTGAAGGGAGCAACTTGTCCAGGAGACCCTGTGCTCAGGCAGAACTAAGCCCGGGTCTGATTGGCTCTGGAGCCTGGTCTTTCCTTGTTCCTGTGGGTGAAGCCGCGGGAAGCTGGATCAGGGTGGGGATGGGCTGTCTGTAGAGCCAGGGCCTAGGGAGGCTCTGAGCTGGCCCCTGGCCTCTCCGCAGTCGGTGGCAGCCAGAACATGCGCTTCTACTGGAGGGAGTTTGTGAACGAGGTGGACGTGCTGGTGTTCATGGTGGACTCGGCGGACCGGCTGCGGCTGCCCTGGGCCCGGCAGGAGCTGCACAGGCTGCTGGACAGGGACCCCGACCTGCCTGTCGTCGTGGTGGCCAACAAGCAGGTGAGGCCCCGGGAGTCTGGCTCAGGTCAGACCTGATCCACACGTGGCCGGGCTGGGTGGGCGCCCTGGGGAGGGACTCAGGCCCAGGCCCATGACCTGTCCCCCACTCTGCCCCTGCTCCTTCCTCACCCCATAACCCTGTCCTTCTGCCTCCCCTTCTGCCTCCCTGTCGTTGGTCATCCTAGAGGAATGAGAAGTCATTATGAAGTATCCACTAGATGCCAGGTGTGGCTTTGAATGTCTTCATATGGTGCTTCTGCTGACCCTCCATGGTGTGAAATGCTGGTTCCATTTTACAGACAGGGCATCTGAGGCTCAGAGAGGTTCTGTTATCAACCCAAGGTGGCTCACAGTAAAAATAGTGAAAGTGGGATATCTGACTCCAAAACCTGCGCCTTTCACTCCGCTGTGTCCTTGTGACTCCTGGCTCTGGTCAAAGAGCTAAAGCCGGGGAGGAAGGGGAGATGGACAGAATGAGCTTAATAACTGGCACCGGTGTGCGTGCTCACAGAGCACCTGGCACCTGACAACCGTGACCTCACATCAGTCCCACAAAACCCCGCACAGGCCCTGCTGCTGTCCCCGAGTGCCCCAAGTTCTAGGTGGTAAGTGGCAACGCCAGGCCTGGACCTCAGCTCGCCCTCAGATAGCCTGTTGTTAACCGCTGCACTCCACTTCCTGGGTGCCAGAGAGGTGAGGTAGGTGCCTTGGGCCCAGCAGCCTCCTGCCTCAAGTGCCATTCTGAGCACCAGGTGACCTGCCACAGTACGGACTCCTGAAGTATTTCCTGTGGCCTGTGCCCACGTCCCTGCGTGCCATGGGACACCTTTCCAACCTGTTTGGGGAGAGGCTTGGGTCTTTGGCCTCAGATTCCCCCTGCCTATTGGGAAATACGTGACATTTATAAACAGGTGACTATACGTCCTGGCCTGCCTGGGACAGTGCCCATTTATGCCTGTTAGTCTAGTATAATTATTGATAGTAACTACTTGAAGTCTCAGAAACACCCTGGTTTGGACAGTGAATACATCATCACCCTACATACAAACTGTAATTTATAGCAAGCTTGGACCTACAGGAGACAACACTGCAGGTCCCAGCTTTCTGTGAATTGCTTCAGGAAGAATCCTTTTCCTCTTAAACCAAGCTGGAAATTATAGCATCCCCTCACCAGCAAGCTCTGCGGTGGTTGACTCTCCGGAAGCGACCACTGTAGGATCTCTCCACTGCTGAGTTAGGACACGGCTGATTCCTGCAGGGTCCTCAGCTTGGGCATCACACCCACCCGAGTGTGAAATGTGGCTCTGCCCGTTCTGTTCCCTTGGCCATGACTTCACCTTCTCTGAGCCAGTGTCCTCATCAGTTGGTTTAAACTGAGAATTGAACAAGACTCGGTACCCATTACAGTGCCTGATGCATAGGAAGTGCCGCTTCTAACCACAGTGGTTGGTGAAGAGGTTAGCACAGGGAAGTCAGGGAAGAGGAAGGGTTTGGACCAAGGGGCCACTCTGGGACCGTGGGCCCCAGGGCTCCCTGCGGTAGCTCAGCTTTGCTCCCGGAGGCGCTGGGTGTTGGGAAACTCGGTGGTGTTTCGCCAGGACCTGAGCGAGGCCATGAGCCTGGTGGAGCTGCAGCAGGAGCTGGGTCTGCAGGCCGTCTACCGCCGGCGGGAGGTCTTCTTCCTGGGGACCAGCATCGCCCCTGTGGGACCCCGATCCGAAGGCCGCGGCACTGTGCACATCTGGAAACTGCTCCTGGAGCTGCTCTCCTAGGCTGGCCCCCGGGGGCTCACCCACCAGCCCTGGGAGCCCACCCACCAGCCCTGGGAGCCCCCGTTCCGCTGCTCCTGCCCCTTCATCGCCGGCCTGGGCCGAGAACCACGCAGGAGCCTTCCTGGTGAGGTGGCCCTGGGGCTGGAGTGGGGTGAGGCGGCGGGTGGGCTCAGTGCTCCCCTCCCTGCAGGGCCTGGTGGCTGAGGAAAGTGCTCACCGTCAGGCTGTTCGGTCCTGGCGACTTGATGCCCTCCTCGCAGACAGGACCTAGGCAGGGCCCAGTGAACCCCGGCTCAGTTCCACGTGGCCCTCCAGCCCCAGCTCTGCCCATCTGGTTTGTGGCCTTGACCGGTCTCTTCCCTCTGGCCCCGGGGCCATCATTTTAAAAGGAAGGCAATTTCTGTGTGTGTGTGTGTGTGTGTGTGTGTGTGTGTGTGTTTGCAAACTGAGCAATGCATTTCCCAGCATCGGAGAAAAGTGCAAGGACAGACCTGGAGATCCTGGTAAGGGTCTGCAACCTTCCCGCTTCCCCAAGCTAAGGCCTAGCCCACCCCCCTCACGACTGCAGAGTAAGTGGTGGTCACCCTAATCAGAAACACCGAATTTCCCCACCACACCCGGAGACAGAAGCTGCTGCTAATGTGTTAACTGTGCCAGCACCAGGTTTCCATAGCGGGGGACCGGAGTGCCATTCCTGAGGAGACTGAAGACTCCACCAGAGCTGGGCCTTGATGTAGAACTGCATTGTGATTATTTATTTATTTAAGGAACAGGCCAAAGATTTAGCCTCTGTCTCTAGGTGCTGTTATCAAAACCCCAGACAACTGCCATGGAAGTCTGGGTCTTTGAGGAAAATGCTAGAATCATTAATGACGTGATAAGCTAGGCAGGTCCAGGAGCCAAAGCTGTAGCTCCCCCTGCCCTTGGACTGTAATGATACCAGGATACTGATCCACATGAACTGTACCTCCATCAATGCCAGGTCCCTTCTGTGCGGATAACAGAAGACTCTGGGAAAGGAAATTTCAATCGTGTAAATCCAGGTAAAGAAATGGGACGTAGGGCCCAGCCAGCAGGGTGGCCTGGGGCACATCGCTCAGCCTTCCCTGGCCCGGGGGTGCCCAGCCACCGCAGCGTTGGATGGAATTCCTGGTGTTCTCTCCAGTTTGTTCCAGGATTCTCTTTCCAGCGACCGGCCAGTCAGGACCATTTTGTCTGCACACTTCTCTCTCATGCAGGCCAGAGGAGCCTTCTGTCTCTCAGGGTCACTGACTAACCAGTGGCCACAACTGGGCTATTTTTTTTTTTTTTTTTTTAAATCAATTCTGTTTGCTTTTCCATTGAGAACAGGTTCCGTGCCTTCCTTCCATTTGTTTACTTTGTGCTCAATCTTCAGCCAGCGAGAGAAGGGGGGGGGGGGGGGGGAGGAGGCAGAGCTGAAGAGGATCTCGCTTCGGGTTAATTTTCCGCATTAAGACGACTTGTCTGCTTTTATTTTAAACAATTAAGGAACGGCTTGGACTGTAGAGTAGCCTTTGAAACTTCTCTGACTTTTCACTTCTGTGTTCTGCAAACCCCACCTGGACCCCAGTGCTTGGAAGTTACCTTTGGAACCAGTGCTGGCGAGGGACCCTTTTCTCCTCCTGAGCTCTGCCTGTGGCCTGTGAGTATCAGGCCCTCCCTTAGTACAGTCTTTAAAGTCCCAGTAGGGAGAGGTGAACTCGAATAGAGTTCAACTACATGTACATGAGGTACTTCTAAAGACCGCTCAGAACCCAAAGATCCAGTGCCATCAGAAGTCACGCTGCTGAGGGGCGCTGGGGGGCCAGCCCGCCACCACCCTGATGCTTACATGGAACACAGACGCTCAGTCTGCCTGTGGTCGAGCCTCAGCAGGCTGTGGCGGACGGCTGTGCTCCTGTGCGGGGCTGGTGCCCGGGCTTGAAGCAGTGCCGCCAGGACCTGACTGAGCAAAGCAGAGCAGCAGGCTTTCTTAGGAGCAGCTAGCTGCCTGGCTTGGTGACCGACTTGGGAGCCAAATAAGTGCTTTGGGGAACCAGGCATTACTTGGAGATTCATCGCAACGAGGCTCCTGAGCTCAACTGGGTGGCACTTCCCACCGCTGCCCTGACTCCAGCTCCTGACCTGTCTACACGTGGGAACAGGTAGGAGGTGTCCGGGCCAACCAGGCCCAGAGCTGGCACGTGGATAGTCCGGCCAAGAGGGCTCTTAGGCTGCCGGGACCACCACGTTGGACTGACTGCCCGTCCCAAGAAGCCTCTCGCACCTCTTGGTGCCCACAGCTGCCCAGCGTAAGCTCGTGCTGATGGGCAGAGTCAGTCCTCACTGCTCCCCCGCCCCACCCTCCGCAGAAGTTCTGGTGAAAATCTAACTGGCCTGTGCCCGAAGCATTGGGTTCTCCATGAGACCTTACCACCTGCCTTCGGGAAACTTTGTTCGTATGTAGTTCAGTAGCAACTGCCAACACCTCGCACCAGCTGCTGACGCGTGCCTGTGGTGTGGTCCTCACGCAGCTGTCTGACCTGGGAGCGGTGGGCCTCATGCTTGCTCTCTGCTCACGTCCTTTCTAGCAGCTCTGAAAAGGGACCCTCCGACTTCTCATCTGCCCCAGGGGACAGGGCTCCGAGGGACAAGGGGAGGTTTGCCATCAAAGATCTGGAAGCAGAGGGCCATGCTGCCTGCCTGTGCCTCGCTCCCAGACCACAGGCCCAGGGCAGACAGCGGGTGGAGTGCTGGCGGTGTGCGAGGTACTCAATAAATGCCAAAAACGTGTGCTTTCACTGGAGTCCTGATTCTGACTGGTGTGTGCTAGTCTCCTCGGCGACAGCTGCAGAGGGTGGTTCCAGAACACCTGCTGCGATCATTTGTCAAGTCCCAGGCCCGGGGCTCTGCAGCACACAGGGTGGGTGGTAAGGAGCACCAGCTTCGGTCTCGGCCTTCTGGGGAGTACCCGAACCTCCTGCTCCTGGCTCTGGCCTGTCAGGCCGGGGTGGAAATGGGAGCAGGGATATCTGAGCCTCTGCCCGGGGACAGGAAGGAGGCCGCTCCCCCCGCACTTACAGGCAGGTTCCTGCACTCTGGTAGGGGTCTAGGGGCGTCAAGCAGATGAAAAGGCAGCTCTGAGTGGTGTGATTGCTGACAGGAAGTCGGGCATGGGGGCTAGAGGATATTCCCACAGCCGGGGGGCAGGGGATAGTGGTAGGGGAGGCCTCCTAAAACTGGCACTGAACTGGTAAAGAAACAAGGTCAGGGGCCAGGCTAGTCTCGGCCTGAGTTTGGGATGCTGTGAAGGACTAGAGTTAGGAGGTCAAATAACGAAGGCCCTCGAGCTCTGCCATAGACTAGCTCCCAAAGGCCGCGGTGCTGTGCCCCGTTGGCCAGTCACTGCCGGGGTCTGTGGCTGAAGGGGGTCAGGGGGCCGCCTTCAGAGCCAAGGGGGAGGAGCAAGCGAAAGCCCAGGCCGAGCCCTTGGGGAGACTTGACTTCAATGCCCCACCCCTGATGCCCATCAAGCCCGCTTCCTTACATGTAAGATGAAGAAAAAACCACACACCTCATGGTTTCATGTGAAATAATCTATGTAAAAACACGGAGCCCTTTTCAAGAGCAGCAAGAAGAGACATTTAGGTGCTTGTAGGAGAAGCCACAGGAACAGGATTTTTCCTGTTATTCACGGCCGCAGACGGACAATACCAGTGCCCACCCACACCCTGCCTGTGACCCCGCTGTGGAGCGGTCACCCCCTCATGCCGCCCAAACCAGGCAGGCCTGTCCCCGAGAACAGGGTTTGGCCGGTCACACACCCCTTCTTGCCTTAGGCCCCAGTTCCAGCTTCTTGTGTCCAGGAGGAGGCGTCAGCCTGGGGCAGGCACAAGCCAGTCACTCCATCTCCATCGCATCCTTCGGCAAAGAATGAACGAAGGCTTCCCACTCGGCTGGGTAAAAGCGCTTATAGACGTTGATCTTATTCCGGATCTGCTTCGGGGTGTCTTGGTAGTAATTCTTCTCATCCCGGGCCATAGCCTACGAAGGGAGAAGGGCCGCTTGAGGGAGGGACAGGCAGAGGTTCAACCCTAGCTCCATGGAGGGGCTGCCACTTCCTGGCCCGGAGGCTCAGCTTCCTCACCTCAAAAGCCACGGTGTACGTGGGGAAGTGGAGGCAGAAGCCACAGGGCCAGCTGAGCAGCCCATGCTCCACCCACAGCCAACCCCACGAGGCATTGGGGGGGCGCGGGGGGAAGGGAAGTCAGTGTAGACCGATCTTCCCATTTTTTTTTTTTTTAAATATGCTTTTATTGTTGTTTTTTAAAAAAATATATTTTATTGATTTTGTACAGAGAGGAAGGGGGAGAGAGAGTCAGAAACATCGATGAGAGAGAATCATCGATCAGCTGCCTCTTGCACACCCCCTACTGGGGATATGCCCGCAACCAAGGTACATGCCCCTTGACTGGAATCGAACCCGGGACCCTTCAGTCCGCAGGCCGACGCTCTATCCACTGAGCCACACCGGTCCCAGCCGATCTTTCCATTTTTAATAGCAAGTAGTTCAAGTTCTTTGTAAGTAAAAACCTCCCAAAACTATAACAGCAAGTAGTTCAAGTTCTTTGTAAGCACCATGCAAGCGCGCCAACCTGTGTGGGCCAGCCCCCCAGGCTACCTCAGCTCTCAGCAGTGCCAGGAGGACCCACCTCCAGCCTCTTCCCTGTTTCCACGCAGGAAAAGGCCCCAAGCAGCAGAGATCACAAACAGTCCGCATCGCCCTCCCGACGGGCCCAGGCGGTGCCTCCTGCGGGGCGGAGCGCTCACCTTGTAGTCCTCCCCGTGGCTCTGCACCATGTAGCGGACGTAGTCTATGAGGTCCCGGGACAGCGTGTTTCCCTTCTTCTCCGGGAGGCTGGCCTCTGCCTCGAGGTCTGGGGAGAATCCGGGAGACGGAATGAGGTGCTGCTCCCTGCGCGAGGGGAGCTGCCAGCCACCCCTCTGCCCAATCCCAAACCGCAAGAGCTGCTCCCCAGCCACGTGACGGGCTTGGCCTCCCTCCCCATATGCGGCTGGAACCTCCCTCTTCAGCCCCTTGGGGCCCAGGCTTCTGCCTGTGACACAATCACTGATCAGTGGCAACTCCCTAAAGGCAAGTCGTAGCTCCGGGCCTCAGGTGGGTAAAAGGCAGGCAGCAAGCTTACAGCTCCACTGAGTGCCAGGTCCTGGGACAGAGGTGGAGGCCCATGGGCCGGGGCTCCCTGCCAGCGGCACAACAGCCCCTTTTCTTAACGAGCTATATAGCAGGTCCAGCAAATGAGAACTAGGGTCCAGGCTGGGCCCAGGCACTCTGTCCACTGGGGGGAAAACGCCATGCTGCGGAGCCAATAATGGCTTTGCTTGTAACACAGCTAGGCAAACGCTCCCTATTTCTCATCTCTGAGGGAGGAAAACATAAATAGCTCACTGAAATGAGGTGGTCAGGTCTTATCCAGATTTAAGTGCTCAAACTGCTTATAGTAAAAAATTTTACTATAATCACACAATTTTACACATGCAATCCAAAGTGAGATATATTGGATAGTACCTCAAGCAATTCTGTATCAAATGTCTGGCCATTCAAATCCTACATTCAAAGCTATTAAAAACCTCAGACAGGTGAGCCCTGGCCAGTGTGGCTCAGTGTTTGAAGGTTCGATTCCTGGTCAAGAGCATGTCTCAGGGTTGTGGGGTTCGCTCCTGGCCCCAGTCGGTGTGCATGCAGGAAGCCATCAGTCAGTATGTCTCTCTCACATTGATGTTTCCCTCTCTCTTCTCCCTCTCCCCCTGCCCCTCTTAATTGAAAAAATATCTTCAGGTGAGGATTAACAAAAAATCCCAAAAAACCTCAGACAAGTAATAGGAAGGGTGGGTAGAGAATTCCAGAGGATTCTGTCTTCCCTGCAAAATTTGCTGTGTTTTAATATTCAGTTTCTGTGGCCTTTATGAACATGAAATTGATTGGTCATTGGGAAGATTAAATAAGATGGTGAAATCTCTAAAAATCTGTTCATCCTTAAATTCAGGAGAAGCTGCACTATGTGCCTGAGACCTAAAGGGATTCTCTTCTGACTCTCAGGCACCGGCTCATCCTCCCTGAACATTTCTGCCCTCACTTCACACACGAGTTTGGCCAGCAGACCACACGTCCCAGCGGGAGAGACAGCCCTAACTGTGTGAGCCCCGGGCCAGCTCCCTTCTTCCCTCTGACCCTGCTTTCTCCTCCTGCCCTTTCCAGCCCTGACCAGGCTGGATGGTAACCCAGAGGAATGAGGCCAGCACCCACCGCTCAGCACATAGGGCTTCCGGATGAGCTCCTGACGTCTCTCGCCTACGTCCACCTCCATGGCCTTGACCTGCAGAGCACAGAGCCAGGGAGAGCAGTAGATGAAGGAAGGTCCTGGATGAGAGAAACTTCCAGAGGCTCTTGCCCACCCCAATGCCACGGCATGGCCCGGAAGAATCCCTGCCCAAGGTTAGGCAGGAATAGACAAAAAAGAGAACCAATGCCCTGCAGATTTCCTGATCCTCCCGAGACCCAAGCAAGCAATTCATCTTTCTGCGCCTGTGAAATGGGCACAGGAACCCTGTCTGCCTCGCTTTGTGGGATGACGGTCCAGTGGAATGTCGCAGTGACAGGGAGATGTCAGATCTCTCTGGCGAGGAGCCACCGACAGTGCGTGGCTTCAGCACCAGTTTCCTCTGGCATGAAGGGGTACAAAGAAACCAGCCAAAGGCGTCGGGACCAATTCAATCAGTAAACCTACTTACTAGGTTAACTACTTATTGCATTTTGTTAGGGGAAAGAGATAAATATATAATACACTACCAAGTGCTATAAATTAAAGCAGGGCAGACGTCAGTGAGTGGGGGGGGGGGGGGTGCTATTTTTTTAAAGGGCTGGCCCAGAAAACCCTTACTTGGGAGAAATGGGTCCTAGGAGATGCCTCAGACCAAGGACAGTTTTGGATGTCTTGGGGGAGGATGTAAGGAAAGTAGGGGCAGAAAAAGATAAATTCTGGAGAAGGCCATTGAGATGCCGAAGGACACAAGTTAATTTCAGAAGATAAACAGTAAGTGGCGAAGCTCCAACCCAGGCCCGGTGTGTGCTGGGGAGCGGGGGAGAGGCAGGGGGGAAAGGACCCTCGGCCACCGGGGAAGGCGGCCGAGTCGGCTGCGGGGGTGGCAAACCGGGAAGGACGCGGGGGAGGCGCGGGCGGGCGTTCGGAACCCGGCTCGCTGCGGCGGGGCGTGGCTTCGGGCAGTACCTTCCTCTTGCGGAGGGGCACCGCCTTGTTGGGGTCCATGGCCAGCCCCATCTCGGCCAGGTTCTGCCGCACGGACTTGGCGTGGTCCCAGGCATGGCGGATGTGGGCGCTGCGTGGGGAGAGGGGGAGCGTGGAACTGTCACCGCGCCGGCCGCGCCCGTCGCGCCCGCGGCCTCCCGAACCCCCGGCCACTCACCACTCGATCCGCGGGGCGGCCTTCCGCCGAGCGGTCCGGTTCAGACGCTTCCGGTTAACGCTGTAACCGAACTTCTGCCTCCGGGTCTTCCCCTTGGCCTTGGGCATCGCGCCGACCACCGCTCAGGCGATTCAGACTCGGCGCCTCTCGCTCCCAGAACCTCGTGCAGCGGTGCGGGGGCTCCTTCCGGAGTCTGCGCGCAGGCTTTCTGGGAAATGTAGTCCTCCCCGGAGCTGTACGGCGCTCTTACTACAACTCCCAGAATGCAACGAGACGTTGCGCCTGCGTACAATGCTCAGCAAATTCCTCCCCCCGCCTCTTTCATGACCAGGAGGCGGGGCTTAAGGTCCAGTTTTCTCTTCGCGCCGTTGCCTGGGACACCGCGTCTCCTGGCCACGTGACTCCCGAGGCATCCTTGGAACCTGCGCAGCGCCCACCTAGCACCTTTGCAGCTAATTCTCCAGTCTGCACCGTTCTTTCCTCGGTGCCACAAGGCTGGCTCCTCCCTCCCGGCAGGCCGTGCTTGACCTCGTATGACCCCCTCTCTCTGGGCCCCATCCCTTGCCCAGGTACAGAGTAAAGGGGAGCCGGACCCAGCTGGTGGCCAGTCGTTAAGGCCAGCCAGGCCTGGCCAAGCTGTAGGTAGGAGGAAAGACACGCTCTGCATGGTTATGGCAGCTGCAGTGCCTGCTTAGGCTCAGGAACGCCAAGGGGCAGTCTGGTCCCTCCTCCTCACCGCTGTCTGATTCCTGCAAGGCCCTCCGTGACAGCGACGTCACCCGGCCCAGGTTTGCGCACAAGCACCATTGCAGGCAGGCGCAGAGGGTAAACTGAGGATCGACGTCATTCCCTGGGCAGGGACCCTGTGCGCAAGCCCCCTCTCCGGAGGGGGTGCTCCAGGCCCGTTGCCCAGCGCCTGGCACACGGTGGGCTCTGAACCTTTCTCGAATGAAGAGCCGCACCTGTTAGCGTGTGCGTCACCGGCGGAGAAGGCTCCGGGGACCCAGGGCCGCTCCGGCTCGGCCCGGTGCGCGCGTCCCGGCGCTGAGTCAGAGCCGCAGGCGCAGCCGGGAGAGGAGGGGGCGCGGGCTGCAGAGCGGAGGGGGACCGCGGGGAGCGGAGGGTGCGGGAGGGGAGGGGGGCGCGGGAGGGGGCCCTGAGCCGCTGACGTGCGCCGGGGTCCGTGTGACCGGCTGCGGCGGCGGCGGCGCGCAGCGGCTCTGGGTCCCCGGCGAGGACGCGCCCGCACCTCCCCGCACCTCCCCGCGCCCCGCGCCCCGCGGAGCGGCCGCCGGCGCGGAGTCCAGTCGCGTCCTCTCCAGCTCCTGCCGCTCCCGGAGCCGCCATGGCCCCGGCCCTCCGGCTGCGCGGCAGCCGCATCCTCTGGCTCGCCTGCGCCCTGCACCTGGCCCCCGCGGCGGCCGCAGGTAAGGCGTCCGGGGCCGTGCGGGAGCCTGGGCTGCGCGCACCCCCACCCCGTGCTGCAGAGGGACCCCGCCGGCTGGGTGCCGGAAGCCCTCTCCTCTCCCCTCCCCAGAAGACGTCTCGCCACTTGAGGGGGACCCCCTCGCCCCCCGCTTTTTGCTGCCACGCATCTGGGCCCTGCGCTGCCCTCGGAACGGTTTGCGGTAACCGCGAATCCCACCCGATGCTGGGACCTGGCAGCCGATGGGGGTGGGGGGCGGTGCGGGGGGCCCGGGTATGTGCGGGGTCAGGCATCACGTAACAGCCCCCGGGGGACCAGCCAGGCTGCCCGCGGAGCAGCAGTCTCTGCTGTAAAACGTCTCATCCGGAGAGCCCTGCGCCCTATCTGTGTTGGATTGCGGGGAGGGATGCGATTTCAAAGCCCAGCCTCCCATTTCCTCTCTGGAATATTTCCAAAATGGACCCCGGAGTAGGTTCCGCGGGGCCCACCCCATGTCCCTGGTCCCTCCCCTACCATCTACTCCCCTTCCTTTCCCCCTCCCCTGGCCCCCGCCACCTCCTCACCCCCCGCCCCGCTTGCTGGAAAGTCTGCACCACATTTTCGAATTCATTTTTGCAGAAAAAAAAAGGTTTGTCCAGGCTGGAGAGCTGTGGGGGAACAGTTGGGATTTGGACGGTTATGGGAGGGGATGTTAAATATTACCTAACAATTTCATTCACACCCCTCCCCCCCAACACACACACAATTTTAAAGAATGGGAGAGAGGAAGGCAATTCCGTGCAACACAAGCCACAGGTAAAACCAGAACGTGGACCTCAGCGTTGGAATAAGAGAATTCCGCACGTGGCCAGGATCACCTGCCTCCCCTAGAGATGCAGATAACAATGGCCTCCTGTCCAGATCAATGTGGCCTAAATGACAAAAAAAAAAAAAGTGAATTATTTGCAAGTCCTGTGTGGTTCCCAGACTGGCCTACTGTACCCACAATATGGTCCCAATAGCTGGGAGTGGGGTGGGGGAAACCCACGGGGACAAATAGAGGCTCGGATGCCCGTCCACCGGCCTGGGGTCTGGGTTGGCCCACATGGTGGGGTCCTACACCAGGGGAGGAGTCAGAAGTCTGTGCCCTGGACCGTCAAAGAGTTACCCAGACTTCACAGGTGCCCAGAGTGCACTGCGAAAGGCTGATGTAGCCATATTCTAGAATGTTCAGGGCTCCACACACTTTTGCCAGAGAAAGGTGTATGCTCCTAGGGCATGCTGGTGGGTGGGTGTTGCTTTGTGCCTTCTGCCGTGGCCCTGCCAGCTCTCGGTCTCTCAGGACCCGCTGGTGCCCGCTAAGCCAGGCCCTTAGGGCTCTGTGACTGGGGCGCTCAAACCGGCAGAGATAGAACTCGATGGATGGGTACCAGGACCTGAGCTTGGTTCCTCCAGGCAAGCCTTCGTGGTCCCTTCCCGCCTGGGTGTCCTGGAGGCTTCCCAGAGCCCCCAGGCAGAGGGACGGCATCGCCGGAGCCGAGAAACACCTGCTTTAAGAAACGCTCCGTGTCGGGCCTCAGACGGAAGGGTCAAGGACGTATCTCCATGGCAGGCTCCATCCCTGGCGCTGGCCAGGGCGTGAGAGTGTGCAGGAGGCAACCCATGGATGTGTCTCTCTCACAGGATGTTTCTCTCTCTCTGACTCTCCCCTTCCCTTCCACTCTCTCTCAAAAAAAAAAAAAAAAAAAAAAAAAGAAAAAAAAAAGGAAGAAAAAAAAGAAAAGGAAAGAAAAATGTTCTCTGGTGAGGGTTAACAGCAGCAACAAAACGCGTAAGAAAATGTGCCCTTGGAGGCATTTTGTGTCTGCACAGGTAGGGGTCTCCCAGGAGCAGTTCCAGGGTCCGCCACAATGTCTGCTGTAGGCACAGCCCCTCCCTCCCGTCCCTCCTCCTCCTGGCTGGGCCCGCCCTCCCATTCCATTGCCCTGGCAACGGATCTGCGGCTGGGCGCTGACATACCAGTGACGCACGCTGTCCCTGCAGATGCTGGATGGCCATTCACAGGCAGCCAGCCCAACGTCCCTGCCGCCCGCCAGCCCTGCCCCCCCCCCCCCATGCTCCTTGCCTGGGGGTGGGCAGGAGCCAGAGGGTAAAGGAGGGGCTGGTCTCTTGCCCGGGCACCCCTTGTGCGCAGGCCAGCCAGAGGGAGGGAGACAGATCTCAGCCGGAGTGGGGTGCTCCCAGGGTGCTCAGGGTCCCTCCATGGAAAACACGCCCCTAACCTTCTGGGGGCAGCTTCTGTCACAGCATCTGGAAACCCCTCTCAGGGACACGGGCTGGGGGGGCATTCTGTTTGCTGTGCACCAGTCCAAGAGAACGGGCAGCGGTGGGCACTCCTCAGCAGCGGCTGCCAGGGTTTCTCCGGCGGCCGGCAGTCCCCTCTCATGGCTGAGATGCAAGGCCAGGAGGGCCAGGCCCGTGCCATGTGCACGCTCTGGAAGGCAAGTCTGGGGCACTGGGAAGAGCATGTGATGTGGAGTCCGCCAGGCCCCAGTTTGAGTCCCAGCTTGACAACGAGCTAGCCATAGGACTCTCGGGCGAGTCAGGTGAGCTGCCTGGGCCTCAGTTTCTCCCCAGGTCAAGTAGAGTAACAGAAGCCAGCCCAGAGGGTGGCCGTGCTGTTCCTGCCACGTCCCCTTCTCCCCCGCTTGCTTCCCCAAACGCAGTTTGTGTTTCTGGGCTCCTAGGCCTGTACGAGCTGCGCCTCGTCTCGGACGGCCCGGTCACCACGGGGGCGGAGGTGAACGTCACAGCCAGCCTGGAGGCCAAGGACAACGGCAGCCTGGTCCTGCCCGCCGGCGCCCGTGCCTTCCGCTTCCACTGGGTGCACAGCCCGCTGCTGCTCACGGGGAAGACGGACGAGGCTTTCCGGTCCTCCATCCGCGCCGTGGGCTCCGTGCCTGGGGACTTCCCCGTCTCCGTGTGGGTCACCGCCGCCGACTGCCACGCGTGCAAGCCCGTGGCGCGGAGCTTGGTCGTCCTCTCCTTCACAGGTGGGGCCTCCTGTCGGCTCATCTGCCTGCAGACGCGGGTGCAGGGGGGCGTCCGGCCTGGCGGTAACGACAGAGACGCAGACTAGACCCCTGGCTCCTCGGTGGTCAGTTAACAAAGGCCCCGCCCGGCCCTCATGGCTCCGGGGCTGAGTGTCGACCTGTGAACCAGGAGGTCACGGTTCCATCCCAGTCGGGGCACAGGCCCCGGTTTCGGGCTCAATCCCAGGGCGGGAGGCAGCCAGTCGATGATTCTCTCTCATCATTGAGGTTTCTCTCTCTCCCTCTGTCTTTGAAATCCATAAAAAAATGTTAAAAACAAAACAGAAACAAAGGATCAGAAGAGAGTAATGCCCACCGCTGGCAGGGCCGTGCTCCTGGGGCCGGAGTGAACGCAGCCCCGTGGAGAGCAGCGGGTCAGCATGTAAACGTTATTCTACATCCGGCCCACTCATTTCCGTTCTCTCTCCTCCACCGCCCGCCCTCCCCCAGAAGGCCTCTGCTCTCCTGGAATTCACAACCTCTTCAATAACCTGCCTCCAGGAAATAGCCCTCCGTGTGGGCGATGCTGTATGCACAGGGGTGTTCATGGCAGTGGTGTTCATAAGAGTAGAAGATAGAGAAAGCCAAGAATTCAGCCATGAGGGGGATGGTTCAGTATACTGACATTTTTTAAAAATATATTTTTACTGATTTTTCACAGAGAGGAATGGAGAGGGATAGACAGAAACATGGATGAGAGAGAAACATCGATCAGCCGCCTCCTGACCGGCATTGAACCCGGGACCCTTTGGTCCGCAGTCTGACGCTCTATCCACTGAGCCAAACCAGTCAGAGCAATATACTGACATATTTTGTGTAATGAACAATAATGACCTTTACATTGATTGAGTTTGGAATGTCCTGGGAGGACACTCATGCTTGTAAAATTTTATTTATTTATTTATTTATAAAGATATTTTTTATTGATTTCAGAGAGGAAGAAAGAGAGAGAGAGAGAGAGAGAGAGAGAGAGAGAGAAACATCAATGATGAGAGAGAATCATGGGTCGGCTGCCTCCTACATGCCCCCACTGGGGGCCGACCCCGCAATCCGGGCATGTGCCTTTGACTGGAATCAAACCTGGGACCCTTCAGTCCCCAGGCCGACACTTTATCCACTGAGCCAAACCGTCAAGGGCCTTGTAAAATTTTAAAAAGCAAAACAGCCGAGCTGGTGTGGCTCAAGGGTTGAACATCGACCTCTGAACCAGGAGGTCATGGTTCAGTTTTCAGTCAGGGCACATGCTGGGGTTGTGGGTTCTATCCCCAGGAGGGGGAGTGCAGGAGGCAGCTGATCAATGATTCTTTCTCATCATTGATATTTCTATCCCTCTCTCCCTCTCCTCTCCTCCTGAAATCAATAAAAATATGTTTTTAAAAAAGCAAAACAAAATTTTATAATCAGTTTGATCTGCTGTGTTTAATATAGATATACACTTGCGCACTCAAAATGTGTGTGAGTGATAAGAATTTTCATTCTCCTTTTCAGCATTTTCCAAATGAGCACCATTGAGCACACCTTACTCTTTGGCTTTATGCTGGAGAAAAAAAAAAAAATCAGCTCTTCCATTGTTTTCAGAGGACACAGCACAGACGTCCCACCAGAACTGCTCATTCTTTTTTTCTCTTTAAAAAAAATTTTTTTTATTGATTTTTTTACAGAGAGGAAGAGAGAGGGATAGAGAGCTAGAAACATCGATCAGCTACCTCCTGCACACTCCCTACTGGAGATGTGCCCGCAACTATCCACTGAGCCAAACCGGTTTCATTCTTTAAGGCCCATCTGATACTGTGAAGAACTTCCCAGAAGCCACTTCCTTCTCATTCTGGGCATCTTTTGTGCCAGAAAGCCCAGGGCCCTGTAGAAAGGGGTGTGGGCAGAAGCTCTGCCCGTCTCCCCGGCTGTGGGTCTCCACGCTGTCCACACAGCGGGCACCATGACTGGGGGGACGTGCGCCTCTGTGTGCAGTGACTGGCAGGTCCCCTCTCGCACCCCAGCTCTGACAGCTGGAAGGTCAGGTGTGTGGGGGGGAGGCGGCCGCTCGCCTAGCGGCCCTGGGGTCACTCCTGGCTCCGCCCTCCTGACCCCTCCGTAGACTCACCCTCCCTTGGTGGCCTTCTCTCCCAGAGTCCATCGTGGGGAAACTCGTCATCGCCCAGAACGAATCCCTGCCCTGGCCCAGCAGCTACCGCTTCAAGATGGTCTTTAAAGCGTCCTTCCTCCTCCATGACCCCAGCGACTTCTTCAGGAACGCCTCCTTCCTCTACAACTGGGACTTCGGAGACCGGTATGTCCGTGTCCCCTGGGCGCCCGGCCCTGGCCCCCGCGCTGGCCCCGCGGTCCCCACAGGGGCCTGTCCCATCCGCCTCCACCCACTCCCTCCCGTGCACCGCACTCTTCCCTTGAGCCCTGCTCGGTGGCAAGCTTGGGTGCGTGGGGACCCGTGGGGAGTCTCCGGGGACCTCGTAGAGGGGGTCACTGGTGCCCCAAACAGCCCTGTGAGGAAGGCCGAGGTCGGCAGGGTTTTTCTCCATGTGGCTTCGGAGGGGCCTGTGCCGGCCTCCTTTCCCCCTCCTCCTCCTCTGCAAACAAGCCAGGCTGCAGGGGCGGGTGGGGAGGGAGCCCAGGCAGCCCATGGGCGCCCCGAGTTCATGCAAAAAGGGGTGCTCAGTGGACGCCCCTCGCCCACTGGAGTTCCCCCGAGCCCCTAGCCCCCGAGTCCACGTGCTGAGCCTGTGATCCCCTGGGGCGAGGAGGAGGGTGGGGAGGGCTCCTGAGGGCTGATGTCCTGGGCGAGCCTGGCCCACATCTGTCCGCGAGGGACGCTGAGGTTTGGAAGGCGATCGCCGAGGCGACAGGCCTGCCGATGAGGCATGTCACGTGACTTCTGTCCCCTGCCTCCCCGCTGTCACCTCGCAGCACCCAGATGGTGACGGAAGACCCCACCGTCTATTATAAACGCTCCATCATGGGCACCTTCACCGTGAAGCTCAAAGTGGTGGCCACGTGGGAGCAGGCGGCGCCGGCAGCCGGGAAGGGCATCGTGCAGAAGACGGGGCACTTCTCGGACTCGATGAAGCTGCAGGGTGGGTCCTGGGAGGGTGGGGGTGGGGTGCAGGTTCCGTGCTTCTCGTGCCCCCCGGCCGCCTTGGCCTCTGGCCCCGGGCACAAGGCACGGGGCAGAAACACCGAAACCCTGGCTTTGGCAAGAGGGCGCTCACGCAGCCGGGCCTGGGAGCCCTGGGACCTCTGTCCTTGGGCACCAGGTCTCACGGGGCCTCTGCCTTTCAGAACACCTTCGGGACATCCAGGTCGTGGGGCCCAGTCAAATTGAAGCCTTCCAGGAGGTGACAATGACCTTGAAATTCCTGGGGAGGTGAGTGAGCCCCAGAGTGCACTCTGTGACCTGTAGCCTCGCCGCTCTCCCCCCACAGATCCCGGGGGGGGGGCAAGTCTGGGGGCTCTGGGAAGGCTGGTGCTAACCGGCCCCTCGGCTGTGCCCCAGGAGAGCCGTGGGCACCGCTCCATTCTCAGGGTGCAGGGGAGAGGGCACTGCAGGTGGGCATCAGGGCAAAGCCGATGAGCGAGAGTCCCCTTCATGGATGGCCCTCCGTATGTGTCTCGGGCCTGCTTTCCAGCCCCCGGAAGCCAGCCATCCTGGGGAGGATGGGGCCCAGCTCACAGGGAGAGGCCGGGAGTGTTTGCCCCAGGAGGGTGGGCAGAGCTGCCAGAGGGCGGCAGCCGGGCTTCAGCCCTCCAAGGGGAAGACCAGTTCCCGCCCCCACGGGACAGGCTGGAGGGAGAATGAGCGGAGTGGCGGAGAAGGACACACAATGGGGGTGGCTGGTGAGGCCTCAGGAGGCTGCGGGGCAGGGCAGGCACCTGGAGAATGGGCTGGGAAGCCAGGGCCTTGGCAGTCTGGTTCTCAAATGTGTGCGTTACCCGAGCCTGGGATTGTGCGAGATGGGACCCCTCTCCCGGCATTCCTTAGACCTGCGCCCTCGCGCTCGGAGCCCATTCTCAACCCACCACAAGCCCACCTCCCCTTCCGATCCTCCTCAGAGGCCACCTGCTCCGGGAGGCTCGCCCAGCACGCCACACGCCTCACTGGGCATTCCCTCGGCCTCCCCCATGGCCCGGCGGGCGGGCTGTTTGCCTCCTCGCGGCCTGGCATCCCCTGGGGCCCCCACCGCTATCCTCGGCTGCCCCCCAGTCCGGAAGGGGTCCTGCCTGGAAAGGACACGGCATTCAGGGCGCCTGGCCCTTCCTGGGCGTGGTCTGTGCCCACACGCTCCTCGCCGAGCCTTTTCTGAGCCGCGGCCCGCACTTCCCCGCAGCCCCCCGCTGAACGTGTGCTGGAGGGTCCAGTTGGAGTGCTTCCCGCTGATGGAAGAGGACTGTCGCCGGGAGTCGGTGACCGGCACAGTCTACAACATGACCGTCATCCTCATGGACCCCGGGGACTACTGCATCAACATCCGGGGCCAGAACGCCGTCAGCATCACCTATGTGTACCACAGGGTCCAGGTGTGGTCCCCCTGTAAGTGACACCTCCCTGCTGCTCCTGCCATCAACAGCCCACCCCTCCAACCCTAGAACCACCGAGAACCCTAACGATCACCCAATACCATTGACCGCCTGCCCGTACCCCCCCCCACCCCCCCCCCGCCACCAACCTGCACCAGTGCCACCACCAGCCAGCTCTAGCACCATCCATTCTAGGTGGTGCTTCCCTCTGGCCTGTCCCCGGGTGGTGGGGGTGGGGGTGGGGCCAGGTCTTCCCCAGGAGAGTCCTTGGAGGGCTGGGCCTTGGCTGCTGACCTCTGTGGGGCAATGCCACCCTTGACCCCACCGCTAACAGCAACAACAACCAGCTCAGCGCCACCGGCCCAGCTGGCCGGCACCGTGACCACATGCACTGCCGACACCTCCCAGCTCTGTACCTGCTGCTCTCATCTGCACTGCCATTAACACCCCTCTTGCCAGGCCCACGCCACTTGGACCAATGCCATCACCGCCATGGCACCCCAGCGTCTCCGCTTTCTAGCTGCCACCACCATTGTCACCAACGACCCTTCCACGTTACCACATGTGCCACACGTGTCCCCAACATGAACACGCCCACACGAAATGAGCCACCATGATCCCCATCTCCTATTTATCCCCATCTCCCCAGCACGTGACCTCTGTCATGATACTGTTGCCACGTGCAACTTGGTTTTTGTGAAATTCTAGATTTTTCCTTTTGAAGTTGCCTAGTTGGGATGCATATACCTAAGAACAAGGCTCCGGTGGGGTTAATATTCTCTCTTCTGTGGCCTTGTGAGAGTTAGCATTCAATACCTCACCCTTTCTCATTCCTAGTCTTCCAGCCGGCTAGCTTTGCTTTCCCTTATCTCTATGCCATACTGACCTCCATGATGATGGGATTTATCATCTTCATGATCCTGAAGAATACTGGTCAACAGAAGGACGTGGTGGAGGTGGGTGCTAAGGAGGGTGGGAGGTTGGACATCTAGGTCCTGAGAGGAGGAGGATGGAGAGGTTGTATGGAGAGATGTGGGGGAAGGCCAGAGGTCTTGCAAGGGTCTGGATCCAGGGCAAGACCCTGGGGCTGGGGGAGATGTACCCAAGAGGCATGCATAGACCAGGCAAAATTCTTAATTTGGCTTCTTCCCATCTGACTTACCTCTTGCTTGGCAGCTGTGCCCAGGGGCTAGTAAGGGAGAGGGGCACTGAAAGAGGGAACCCCAGGAAGCAGAAAAGCCCAGGGCACAGTGGCGAGCTGTGCAGTGCCAGAAAGGTTTTTGTACATGCTGCCACTAGGCTGCTGAGCTCGTAAGGCCACCTAATGAGGCTCCTGGTGGGTGGGTGATTGACCCACGGGGTTTTGTTCATCATAGGTGTCTGACTTTGACTTTCCCCCCATGTCTGACAAGAACCCAGAGGCCCCCGTGTCTGACAAGGACCCGGAGCCCAAGAACCCGGAGCCCCCCGTGTCTGACAAGAACCCGGAGCCCCTTACTGAGGCCAAGTGCTGCCCAATGTGCTGTGTGCCCTTCCTGCTGGAGACCCCGTCTGAGTACCTGGAAGTCGCCCGAGAGAACCATGAGCTGCTGCCACCCCTCTCTAAGTCTGTCAAAACTTTCACAGTGTGAGCACTCCCCACCCAGCCTCCGCTTTAACTAACTGCCAACTCCACGCTTTCTGCAGGTGGTGCCTGCCACCCAGCAGGAGGGGTTCATGTGTGCGGAGCCCTCTGCCCTGGCCATCCGTCCATCTGTACAGTCCAGCTGCTGCCACAAGCCCCCTCAGTCACACTCCCCACCCATCTGTCCATCTGTCCAACCCAGCCACTGCTGTAAGCACCTCTCAAGTCCTCCCCACCCCTCACCTTTGAAGAGACTGGGTACCTTCTCTCTCCGGGTGTGCTTGCCTGACCCTACTGATCCTCCCATGTTGGCATGTCTGCTGGCCACGTGTGGTTTGAGCTTTCCTCCCCCAGGTACTTAGGAGGAAGGTCACAAATGATTAGGGATACATCCCAAAAGGTCATGCATAGAGACAAGCACACATACACACACACACACACACACACACACACACACACACACACGTGCCACACAGATATCTCGGACCATCTTTGTATTGTTCAACCGGTTGCTGGGATGTACCCTGAATTAGAACGAAGATGAAACCTGACCCCCACTTGGCCCCAATAGCTCCTGAGCCTGTCCGTCCCTTTGTGAATTGTGTCTGCAGCTACCCGGCTCCATTCTAAGGACCCCTGCTCCTTGCCTGCTTCCCGGGGGCTGGGAAGGGGTGGGGCTAATACTTGGTGCGTAGGAAGTGCTTCATAAAAGCACCTTCTTTCACGGAGGCCCTGTTCCCGTCCACCAAGGAGAAGGCCTTGAAGCAAAAGCGAAGTGGAGCGGGCGGGGATGTGGGAGGGAGGGGAAGCCCCCAGAGGAGCCTTGAGAAGGAAGAGGCAGGACTGGACACAGCCCAGGCCTCTCCCCTGCAAACCAGTGGCCGGGGCAGGCAGAGAAGAGGGAGGGAGCAGGTTATGGTGCAGAGGAGAAGCACGAGGCCCCAGCCCACCGTGCAGGGGTGCCGGGAGCCACGTGGGCCTGTCTGGTGCGGGGAGGGCAGGGCGTGGGGGCCGCACTCTGTGGCTGTGATTGTTGGCTCTCAGACTTTGCACAGAAACACACCGTGCAGCTGGTCCTCATGAAACACCGCCATTGTTGCTGAATAAAGCTCGTGTGCTCTGACTATAACCACGCACATGCTGGGAGGCCGAGGTGCTTTCTTTTCCACGCAAGGCGTCTGAGTGGTTCTTGGCCCAGGCCGTATGTCCTGGCGTGTTCTCTGACGTGGTCTGGATGGAGCTGCTGTCTGGGGCCTCAGGACCCAGTCAGTGATGCTCAAACTGCTGATCAGGCCACATCCTGATGAGGGTCTGATGAGGGTCGGAGGAGGAGGGCTGTCAAGGCGCCCTCTGGTGACCAGTGTGCAGCTGAGCCTTTGACCTTGATGACCTTAACACACACACCTCCCCCACCCCCTTCCAGCGCATCCCTGTGACTCTGGCTTCCTCGGGCTGAGCTCTGGCGATTTCCCGTGCCAGATGCTCTTCCCTACAGGCCCTCTCTCACCTTCTTCACTTTTTAAAAAAAATATATTTTATTGAGTTTTAACTGAGAGGAAGAGAGAGGGACAGAGAGCTAGAAACATCGATGAGAGAGAATTATCGATCAGCTGCCTCTTGCACACCCCCACTGGGGATGTGCCCGCAACCAAGGTTCCTGCCCTTGACTGGAATCGAACCCGGGACCTTTCAGTCCTCAGGCTGACGCTCTATCCACTGAGCCAAACCGGTTTCGGCACGTTCTTCACTTCTGTTCCCATGCCCCCGCCTCGGCGAGGCTGACCCAGCCCTCCTGCCTCCCGTATCTTACACCCCCCACCCTTAAAAGCGCGGGTCACCTTCTAACGTCCTATTACTTTCACTCACTCACTTATTTCACCTGCCTCCTTCGGTGAAAGAAAGACTCCAAGAGCAAGGGCCTTCGCCTACGGCACTGCCTAGTCCTAGTTTCAGCACCGAGAACAGCGGCCGGCAAACCCATCCGTCCACAGGGCCGACTATCAACAGGACAACGATGGACATTTCTTCGGAGAGCCACATTTTTTAAACTTAATCTTCTTCTAACATAGACTCGCCCAGGCCGTGGTGTTTTGTGGAAGAGCCACACTCAAGGGGCCAAAGGGCCGCCTGTGGCTCGCGGGCCCCAGTTTGCTGACCACAGACCTAGAACCATGCCTGGCACAAAGTAGGTGCTGGTGAAATACCACCAAGGAAAGGAGGGTGGAAAAGCCCCCTCTCCCCCCAAGAGAAACTCATGTCCTCCCAACGTCTAGAACTGAAGAGAAGAAAGGGCACGTTCTGAGGAAAGGACCCCGTCTCCCCAGATTGTCCAGAAGGAAGCCCTGGTTTGGATCTTCTCTCCTGCGCCCTGGAGAGAGGGACCATTGTGTGTGTGTGTATGTGTGTGTGTGTGTGTGTGTGTGTGTGTGAGGGGGGGGGCAGGGGAGGGGGAGGGGAGTGTCCTTCCGGCCTGGAGGACTTGGGACTGCCCCAAGCATGGCGGCATTTGAGAAACTGGCTCTGCTGCCTGTCCATCCTCAGAGTGCAAGCCACGGGGCTGGTTTCTGAGGGGGACGCCGTGTTCTGTCCTGAGAAAGGGGGTGTCGGAAGGGGTGGGGGAGGCAGCTGGAGTGGGGAGGGGGTGCCAGGCCTGGAGAGGCCAATCAGGGGCCGGGACCTGCTTGGCCAGAGAGCTGTGGAGGAGCTGGGGCCGCCAGGCAGGGTCTGGGCCGCCATCGGCTCTTAACCCGGAGTGCCCCACACCCAAGGGGTCCGTGGAGAGCATTCGAGAACGTCCATGGGAGAAATCACATCTTGACTGTCACAAGCCTCTAATAGCATCGTGCATTTCCTTTCGCCGTGAATACAGGCAAAGATCGGCGGCGGTGGGAGCAGTCGCCACGACGAGGCCGTTGGGAGAAGGCACACACACACTTGTGTGTCGCAGCCTCATTGCCGGGGACCTCACAGGAGCACCTGGGCGGTGGTGTCCTCAGCTGCTGTTTTCCTGCGGAGGGCCTCATTTCTCTAAGCAGATGCCTTATAGTCACTGCTTTCATATCCGTATTTCAGTAAAATTGGTTTACTTTGTAATCCTATTACTTTACATGCTTTCAAAACATTATTCTGAGGGCTTGATTGGGCTAGAGGGGGGCTTATGGCGCCTGGGGACCCTGCTTTCTTCCAGCCATCGGGAAGGACACATCTGGGGGTCCTAAGGCTGCTTCTTCCCCCCACCCCCACCCCCTCACCCCCAATCTGATCCAGGAGCCCAGGTCTAGCCCCAACAGGCTGCCTGCCAGCAGTGCCTGAAGTAAGTGCCTGCAGTGCCCAGTGTGAACAGCAGGTGGCAGCCCTGCCTGGCCATGCTTCCTGCAGTCTCTTACCAGAGGTAGCAGGTGGGCGCGACAGGGATGGCAAGCATGTCGGGAACATTTCGGTCATAAGAGTCATGTGACGAGTCTGTATTTTGGAGATTGTGGTCAGCAAACGGGAATGTGGGCTTTGTTTTTTCATTTTCTTTCAAATGCCCCAATGTGCTTCCAGGATTAGACACCAGGGGGCGCCATAAACTCTTCTGAGAGGAAACCGGCTGCAGAGCAAAAACTGGAAGGCCAGGCCTCCCCTTCCAGAATCAGTGGCTCCCACTTGGGCTGTAGTTTCTGACCAGTCACTACAGTGACCCTGAGGGGTCACTCCCAGGTCCCCAAGGAGCATGTGACCGGGCCCCAGGCCACTCCAAGCCTGACCCCAGAGGCGGCTGGTGCGGGATGGGGCTGTGGCAGGCGCCGCCTCTTCTCTCAAACAGGAACCGCAGCCTCTGGCCCCCAACAGAGGTCAGATCAGCTCTCTCTCCTGCTCACCACCCTCAGCGCCTCCGCCTGACCCTTCGCACCTCGGCTCCCCCACATGCATCCCCACCGTCTGTGCATAGTATTCACCCTGGGCCGGGACCCTCAGGGCGCACCCTTCCTTCCTCCCTCCCTCCCTCCCTCCCTTCCTTCCTTCCTTCCTTCCTTCCTTCCTTCCTTCCTTCCTTCCTTCCTCCCTCCCTCCCTCCCTTCCTCCCTTCTTTCCTCCCTTCCTCCCTCCCTCCCTTCCTCCCTTCTTTCCTTCCTTCCTTCCTTCCTTCCTTCCTCCCTCCCTCCCTCCCTCCCTCCCTCCCTCCCTTCCTCCCTTCTTTCCTCCCTTCCTCCCTCCCTCCCTCCCTCCCCTTCCTTCCTTCCTTCCTTCCTTCCTTCCTTCCTTCCTCCCTCCCTCCCTCCCTCCCTTCTTTCCTCCCTTCCTTCCTCCCTCCCTCCCTTCCTCCCTCCCTCCCTCCCCTTCCTTCCTTCCTTCCTTCCTCCCTCCCTTCCTTCCTTCCTTCCTTCCTTCCTTCCTTCCTTCCTTCCTTCCTTCCTTCCTTCCCTCAGCAAACGTCACGGTGCCACGTGCTGGGAGGTGCAGCCACGAACAAAGCCAGGCCTGCCTCTTGGGCTTCCCACCCTGTGGACGACCAACCAACGCGGATCCAAGAGCCACGGACATGCCACCACCCGCCAGGGCCGCCCGTGCCGCTCTGGCGCCTCTCCTTCCCGCTCTGCCCCGGCAACTCGGCCTGGTGCCGAGAGGCTGGGAGTCCCGGCTCGGACCCGGCCCAGCCATGAGCGTTCCGGAGGCGAGTGTGGCTTTTCTGGCAGAAAACGAGGCTCCCCCAGGCTCGGGCTTGCCATGGAGATGCTCTCGGATTCCGAGCTCCAGGGGCCGAAAACGGCAGCCAGTGCCCCGCAGGTGCCTGATGAGGCCGTGTCCCTCCCCCAGGTGTAAGCGTTCTGGGGAAAGGCCGGTGCCATGGCCCACGTGCTCTCAGATTCCACTGTGGACACCGTGGGCGACCGGGCTGTTTTCAGATTCATCCCCTCGGCGGAGCCCCTGGCCTGCTGGGAATGGCTCCTTGGCGAGCCGCCCCGCTCAGCGGCCTCTCCTGCCCGCGCCCCAGGCCGCAGGGCAGAGGGAGGAGGCGCCCAG